CTGTCACATCCCCTCCTAAATTATGTAAATCATCAAAAACTTGTTTTCAAAACTGAGATTTAAAAAATTGTGAAACGGAGCCAAATTTATAACAGCAGACTTGAGAAATGTTATCTTGCTCAATCATTTGAAATGTGAACATGCCAACCATAAAGGCAGTAAATTCTTATTATTTTATCTGTTTTAAATCTTGTTATTACTACAATTCTTTATTAGCACGAAAATCCTACTATCCCTTCAATTACCCTTCAAAATCATCTCAACGACCTTGAAAAACTCAACGAACACAAAATCAAAATAAATAGTAGCAAGTCAAGTCATGTTAGCTTCTCCCTGCTGAAGATTTCCTGTCCTGCTGTGACAATAAATAACAAATCAGTTTCCTCATAAAACTCATGTATGGTATTATACTCGGACAGAAAACTCATCTGGCACATACACACCAAATTAAAAAAAAAACAAAACAAGAACTGACCATACGGTACAAACAACTATCACATCTTTTAGACTACAGATCTCCAACCAACTTACAAAACAAGCGACTAATATACAACATTATACTAAGACATCTGAACTTACGAAGCAGAACTTTGGGGTACCGAAAAACACGTCTAAAAAGAAAATTCAAACCGCGGAGTCCAAAATACGACCAAAAATCTATGATCTAAATATTTAAAAAAAAATATTTTTATTTTACTTTTATTCGAATATATATATACATTGGAGAGCATAGAAATTGCATCACCCAGCAAAAATTTTATTTTATTTACCAGTTTGCTACTGCAAGATCTCAGGATATTTCTTTGACAGTTATAAAACGATATTCTAAAAACAATCGCACCATTAAGCGGTCAAATTATTAATTTATTTTTTTCTCCTCCCAATTACTTTTTTTCGCTCCATGGTGCAATTTTTTTTTCAAAACTATGATTACCGTTGATTGGTAGTACGTTATTCTCGTTACTATTTCGAGGGGAAATTCCTTTACTTCATGTAGCTACCCAACTTTAATGTTTTTAGATCCGTTTTTGATACAGGTTATAATTGAATCGGTGAGTGCAGAAACCACTTCAGTATAAAAAATGCGAAAAATCGTTTTCGATGAAAAGAAGCTTAGAAAGGCAAGATGCGTGTTGAGCGCAAGAACCACGTTAGTCGGTTGAGTAGTTCCGTAAATACATGACGTCTTTTTCGATCGTTAAGCGCAGAAATAACATGAGTCAGTGACTGACGTGGTTTCTGCACCCACCGCTGGATCACATGAACACCAGAGATGGGAATATTTATACTAAAAAAAATATATATGAATAACATTTATATTTATGATACTTATGAATATAAATATAAATGAAAACTTTTTTTATGATGAACTATTTACCTGGCCAATCACAGCACGTGACAATGATGCAATCGTTGAGAATGATATTTAAGAGCGTTTCACTTTGTTATATTCCTGTTTTATGATGACTTTGCAATACTATAACTTCATTTTTGTTATAATATGAAAAAATATAAATTTTTAAAATTGTTGTAAATTAAATTACATTAAAATTAATATAAATAATTAAATTGTAAAAATATAATTAATATAAATTGTTAATTAAAAAATATAAACTTTTAATGAACGGTAACCTTTCTCCAAGTTTTCAGCTGTCTGTAAAAAATAGTTGAGTGCAGAAACAGCATAAGTCCGAATCAAATTTTAAATTTTCCTGAGTTTAATTTATGTGGAAATTAGTTAATTTTTGCATGAAAGCAACATAAATAAATACATGTTATGACTGAGGAAAAAAAAAAGTTCAAATATATAAAAATTTGGAAGAGTAATGAGGTTTTTTCTCTCTTCAAATTTGAAATTTGTGACTGAAGTGGTTTCTACACTCAACGATTCAATCACAGCTTTTATTCGGGCATTATTCAAAATTGAACCAAGTTCAATTACAAAACAAAATATTGTTTTCTTGTAACATTAATAAGTAAAGAAAAAAAATATTCAATGGAATCAAAGTTATTAACATAAGAATCAAAAGAAATAGGTGATGCAATATCTACGACCGCCACCTATATGTTTTATGTATATATATATGTATATATATATATATATATATATATATATATATATATATATATATGATAATGTATTAAAATGTATATAATAAACGCGTATTTTATTTTGATTTTAAGTTATTGCTAGTGAACGTATAATAAAGCACTGCACCAAGCTGCTTTGAATGTTAATATTAAATGCGAACCTTGACACTGCAACTGGTGCCATGATCAGACTTTCAATCGAGTTTTTATTTAATCCGTTGAATAATGAACTAATCCTATATGACCTAGGCACCGTTTTTACGCAGTGCTCTGTAGCCGTTCTGATTTAGTTTCACCTTTATTATTTAATTATTGCTTCATCCTTGTAACATATTACATTAAAGAATTCTCCTTTTCCTCTCACTAAAGGTTCAAGTTATATCTCACCATTTATACAGCTATGTTATCCATCTACTAAGTTTCTTCAAGGATAATGGTTTGGTAATACCTGCTTAAGTTATTCAAATTCTCAATTAAGCGAATATATTCACTTTTTTATTTTCAAAATAGGCATTTTTAATCTAATAAATTTGAACTTTCTCAATCCAAAAACCGTATGTAAAAAAAACCGTTTTGTTTTTTTAAATGTTTTGTACCTAGATCACGTGTCAGTCACTCGACATTAACATTCTCCATTTTGTTTTTAAACGTCGGCCAATCATAGGTTTCATCCGCCCATATCTCAGACACTTATGAAGATAATGGAGAAATAATCTCGCATTGTTGATGTTTTCAATTATATCGTATGTTCTAAAGCACCCTAGTTTTTTTTTTTCTTTTTTTTTATACAGTAGAAAATGAAAAAAAAGGGTTGAAACTTTTTTTAATATGTCCTTTTTAACACTTTTTTGGTAAAAAGTTTCATTTTAATAGTTTCAGTGGAACTTTAAAATAAAAGTTCTAATGAAATTTTTTGTGATGAAATTCCAGGTTTATGATAAAAGTTTAACTTTTTTTTATTCAAGTTCTTAAAAAAATTTCTGTTGAATGAAAAATAAAGAGTAATTGGGTTTATATTAGAGTTAATTGGGTCTTAAATGAATTAAACATTATTCTAATGTGTCGTTTGTTTGAGTAAATATGAATAAAATTCATTTTTTGTATAGACGTTTTAGGGAAATCGACTTAGGGCTTTTGAATAAAAGTTTTATTTTTAATAAAAGTGTGTAAAGTAAAAAAACATTTACTTGAAAAGTTGCAAGGGAAAATAAAAATAAAAGATTTTTTTTTCAGTTTCAAGTCCTGCAAAAACATATGCTATATTGATTTGCCGCGTTTAGTTTTTCCTACAATCATTCTATCAAACACTGCAGAAAATATCGTCGGTTAATTGATACAAGTTACTAACTACATTTTTGATTGAGTTAAATAAGGACATTTTTTTGTGAATTTGTACCTTGTTTATAAATACCAAAGCTAGCCCATTCATATGCCAAATTTAATTACACTAATTGTAAGTACATAACGTATTGTCTTACGGAGGGAACATTCATCATAGTAGAGTGTGATTTAATTTTATAAAGTATTTACAGGGACGTTTAGCAATGAATTGACGATATGATCCTTTAAAATTCTTTTATAAGCATTTAAGTCTTGTAAAAGATACTCAATGTTTTTTTCATCCATATCATCAATAATTTTTAATTAAGCGAGTAAATAATATGGAGAACTCTTATCATACCAAAAACCATAGTGTGTAATAAATTATTTTTCGTTACTTAGTATTTTATATAAAAATTAATTAATGTATATAAATATAAAATATAAAAAATAGAATTAATTCTATAAAAATTAATAATTGAAAGGTATTTATTTAACGCGCACTTCCTAGAGCAGTTAGTGTTTATTTGCTAATTGGCTCTAACAGTCTTGTCCCTGACCGATGCAAGGTTCTGCCTCTTTCTATTTTTAGCTTGAACATTTCTATTTATCTAAATAAAGAGAATGTTTATCTTCGAAGTATAATCAAATTAACTAGAAATAATAAAATGCTATACCAAGTGTTCCATTATTGCATACCTGCAAGGCCTATATGATTTTCATACCTACTATCCCAAAAATGATACTTGAATACAACTTAAATCCTTCATTTTCATTAGAATCGTATCCCATTTAATTATTTCTGGTTTCCATACTTAAAAAATATTATTATTTTATTCTTAACTTAGGCTAGTCATTTCATGAAACCTTGAAGACTTACTGACTTCACTGCCACGTAGAAAATATAAAGAACTTATTAATAGGGAAGCGCTTTTAAGTAAAAAAAGTAAAAAATAAAATAAACCTGTATCAGTACAACCCATTAACGGCCTTGGGTGCAGTGCTATATGAAGTACTGTTACAATGCTTACAGTGGGCAAGGAGGTGATTGGACCGATGTCACGCTCAACCACCAGGTTGTTCTCCTTAATTAGAAGTACCAACTTTATAGAGGGTGGGTATGGTGGGTATGGGTCCCCAGGAGGATCTCCCGACCCCAGGGTCCTCCACGGTTAATGAAAAATTATTAGTCATCAGCCGGACTCGAACCTGGTACTTAGAGCTCTGGAAGTCAGTGTTCACCTACTAAGCTACCCCCTCCCCCTCCCCCCTCCCGCTCTCTATTTAAATCAAAATGTATGTAAAATATATATCTATTAACAAGAAAACCACAATAATAATAAACTATCTTTTTCTTTTTTGTTATAGAAGGCATGAACGACATATTTTTATTTATTTAGCAGCAATAATCTGAACAAGATGATATATTGAACTAAATCAAAGGAAAGTAAGTATCCATTAACACTATAATAAAATCTACATACAATTTTATTAAATTTGTTGTATTAATGGCATTTATTACACATTCCAGCGTTGCTGTATTACAGAAATCTAATTGCAATACCAATTATATGAAAGGTCAATAAAAAAAAAATCTTAAGGACATCGGCTGTACATTGATTAAAAATAATAAAAGTATTCCTATATTAATCAATTTTGTAATTATTTTCACGAAAATATTTGTGAGGTTCTTAAGAACGTTGAAATTTGTGATATTTACATAAATATTTTTTCTTTCAGGTGTTATAAATGAAGATATGAAGCTGTTATATTTTATTGTAACTATCTGTTTAGGAAGAGTTGCCGGACAGAACAGTATACTAGATGATATTAGGGCTCTCTACGTGCAGTTTGGCGTTCCTTTCACAGAAAATTATTTTCCATCTAATTTTCTTGTTTTACCAGAATATGACTTCATCGTTGTCGGATCTGGTCCTGCAGGATCGGTAATCGCTAATAGGCTCTCAGAAGTAAAGGAGTGGAAGATACTCTTACTTGAAAAGGGACCAGAAGGAAACATTTTTAACGATATACCGTTCACAAATCCGATATCGACACTCGGGCCCAATAGTAAGGTGTACGATGTAGAAAGAGAACCCAACATTTGTGCAGGACTTTTCGAAAAGAGATGTCATTGGACTTCAGGTCACGGTGTAGGAGGAGCGTCCTTGATCAACGGCTTGTTGTTCACGAGGGGTCACCCGTCCGACTATGATGGGTGGGAGCAGGAAGGGAATCCCGGGTGGTCGTACAACGACCTCCTTCCTTACTTCCTCAAGAGCGAAAATATGTCGGTCAGTGGTTTGGCCCAGTCCAAATATCATTCCACAGACGGTCCTCTTCACATCGAATATCCGTTCATAACAAAACTCGGAAAAATGTTCCTTAAGGCAGGTCAGGAGTTGGGATATGACGTAGTAGATTATAACAATCCCGAGACCATCCTAGGGTTCGGGACAAGCCATATCACTTCAAGGAGAGGAAGAAGACATAGCGCGTCCACAGCGTTCTTAGTTCCAGTGAGATCGAGGCCGAACCTACACGTACTGAAAGGCGCAACGGTCACTGATATCCTGATATCTCCCGAAACCAAAAGAGCGTTCGGTGTTAGATTCGAGAAAAACGGTGTTTTGAAAAAAGTATCCGTAAGAAATGAAGTTATCATTTCAGCAGGCGCGTTCGGTTCTCCACAACTGTTGTTGTTATCAGGAATAGGACCTGCAGAAGATTTGCAGAAGCTGGAGATTCCAGTAATGGCTAATCTTCCAGTAGGAAAAAATTTACAAAACCACCCCGGAACACCGGCAGTTATCTTTCGAATCAATACCACGGATAGTTATAATACTCGAAAGATGTTGCTTAGGACCCCTATTGATTTTGTTCAATGGCTCAGGAACGGCGACAATATCTATGCAGATAACGGTGCCGAGGCTGTGGCATACGTAAAGAGCCGTTATGCTGATGATAAGCCCGACATAGAACTGCTGATGACCGCAACATCCATCACATCCGACGGGGGCACCCTGATCAGGAGAGCCTTGTCCATCTCGGATGAGGTCTATCACAAGACGTGGGGGAGAATTAACTTTGCAGAGGTCTTCAGCATTGGCCCGATGGTGATGTACCCGAGAAGTAAAGGTGAGTTGAAGCTGAGAAGTCGCGATTTTCGTGATCCGCCGATCATTAAAAGTAAATTTTTCTCAGACCCTTACGATATGAAAATTTTGATAGAAGGCGTTCGAGCTGCGATTAAAATATCTGAAACAAAAGTTTTTCAAAAAATCGGTGCTAAGCTGTATACTAATCCAATTTTTGGGTGTGAAAATTTAATTTTCAATTCGGACGAATATTGGGATTGCGCCATACGGACCGTGCCTATCCACTTCTTCCATCAGTGCGGCACTTGTAAAATGGGCCCGGACCCCTCCTCGGCAGTGGTGGACCCCAGGCTCAGGGTCCACGGGATAGCCGGCCTGAGGGTTGCCGATGCATCCATCATGCCTACCATACCCGGCGCTCACATAATGGCTGCGTCCTACATGATTGGCGAGAAGGCTGCCGACATAATCAAACAAGACTGGAATGTGTGATATTCACTAATTAAATCATATCACATTATCAATCGAGGTATATGGACTGAATAGTTTTAATACGATTCATCTTCGTTTTTTATCCATCAGCAGTATTAAGTATTGGATGTTCGCTTAGTCAAATGTAAGTATTTAAACACAATCACTCATCACAGAAAGTATTTGAAAAGCAAACTCTACACAACGTCAATGCATTTTCAAAATGTTAACAATTAATAGTTAAGTTCCACTTCTGTTCATCCTGACTTCTGAAGTGGTCCAAAAACCAAAGTATCCAGACCAATAATTTTTCCAACCTTACAAAAATGACTAAACATCGGTAAATTGATAAAAACGGGCTAAAATCAGTTTTCATTAACAATTTTATTTTTCCAAGAGACCACCACGTACTTTTCAGTAAATAAAGACATCTTCAGGAATGATCTACAATATACCTTTACATTTTTTTTTTTTTTTAATATTTCTCTTTTAACTAGGCACTCTTAACATTTTTAAATTTGATTGTATTGAATTTTTATTAAATCAGTATTCATGAAATCCTTAGGGCCTAATCAGTCAGGAACTAATCAGCGGACAACAATTACAATATTTTGGTGTAATATTTATTTACAAACTACGTTTCGACCAACATTGTAAGTCTTCATCAAGGCTTTGTCCAATAATGCCTAGAGACTCGAGGGCTATAAATAAATAATACACCAAAATAGTATGATAATCGAACACACCCCCTAACCTAATATTCCTTAAATATGAATCATAGAGCTTATTAACAATAAGTTAAATATACCCATTTTTAGTACAAAAAATGTTAATTATAATTTATATGATTGTTGTTTCATTTAATTTAATTTTGAACGATCTCTTAATGCCTAGTTCAGTTGTATATATCTCTATATAATTTTAGATGATCTTCCAATAGCTAGTTAATACAATTAGTTTTACTAATGACAAAACTTGACCTAAGCACTGATATATTTGATTTGTAAGAAGTACAAAATATTTAATTGTATTTAAAAAAATGTATTAATGTAATACGTATTAATTTTTAAGGTTGATGATAGCTAACTTCAATTTATTTAGTATCAATATCTTGCAAAGCTAGAATTAATTCTAACTTTTTGAATTTTCCTGTTCCTATTCATCAACATTATGTACATTATTATTTTTCGAAAAATTGTAAATAAATTATTGTGATTTTGTATGGCTAACAAACAAGTCGATGTTTGTTCATTAATGTAATTATTTATTATTGAAGATGTACTGCCCTAACATACCAATGATTGCACAATTGTGAAAATATATATTATTTCTAATTATTTTTCAGGAGTAAGATAGTAAAATAAGTTCTTAAAATTATTTCTGACGTTTTAGATTAATATGAAAGGTAAGAAAATGTTTGTAAAGGAAATTAATGTTCTCAGTTGGATAAATACAACGGTAAGTTGGCTTTTTCTTTCTTCTCCTTTAAGCAACGTTATAAAATTGGACACCGAAATGCTAAGCAGTTTTCATCATGAACACATATACATACTTCAAAACTACAGAGCATTAAGATTTTTGTAAAACGGAAGGTGAACGCCTTACATAATGCCCAAACACGAGCAATGTTTAACAGGACTTAAATGAATTAATTTCAGTACTTGGTAGGTACAATTAATTACTAACACATATTTACAAAAAAGCACAGGGAAACGGCATATTATGAACTGTGTCTCTTTCATTCTGGATATTAAATATTTGTTGATAAGAAGTAGTAGTTCTTAGAGACTATTGAAAAAAAAATCATCAAACGAACTAACGAAATCAGTCATAAATATCACACATTTCATTTTCATCTCTGGTCTCGTTATTACTTAATTGAAGTTACCGTTCCTTACGAAAATAACCGAATAGTTCTCTTATGAATATGAATATTAGTTAAAAACGTGCAGATAAGAAACAAATATAACAAGTAATGAATAGGATCCTGCATTATTCAAATTTTAAATAGATTGTTTTTCAATTTATTTTCATTTCATGTAAATGGTTATTTAAACAATTATTCTGCTATTAAATATAAGAAAAATATTATTCCGATTATGATTTTTTTTTTAATTTCCGTCAGCCATTTGAAATAAATACCCAAAATGATTGTTGGTATTATCATTATTTTAAACAGTTATATGTCTAATACAACGACAGAAAAATAATCATTAGTCTCCTAAAATGTACAAATGTTTACATAGAGTGTGTGGGTAATCCAGACTATGCTATCATCTGTCTAACATTAAAAAAAAAAGGTGTATTTTATTTTTTCCATTATCTTTCCTGTGCACGTATAAGGATTTGTAACTGACATTCGCTAAAGAACTATTCAGCTATTTTAGAAGAGTGTGGTGACTCGTCAACAAAGATCGAAATAAAAACAGCTGTTGTTATTTCTGTTAGTCCACTAGTCATAGCAGAAATAGGATATTCATTTAAGGAGATGGTGTGAGGAGTGAATTATGAAAGTTTGACCTTTCTAAATAAAATAAGTCTGTCATTCCAAATCTAGCAAAAATGGTGGCGATGTAAAGACATTTGAAACTTACAAAATGTGGTCCGCAGTCCCATAAAAGGTATCTGTAATAAGCAGTCAGCCGTTCCGACGGCGCTGTCATCTTTTGACTAATTATAACTAAGGAATTGCAGATTTTAAACGTCAAAATTCAACAATTTAGCTTGAAATTACACTATATGAAAGTGCAGAAAGAAATAATGTTGTTTTCATATCCTAGGCTTCCAAAATATACTGGTAGACTGAAACACAGAATTTAATATTTTAGGTCGAGTTTTGGGGTTCTACTAAACCGTCAAATTCCTCTCGTATCCAATCCCTGCAATACAAAATCCTTCGTAAAATCCTTAATGCTTCCTACTTTGTCACAAATAAAATCATCCATAATGACCTTAATGTACCATATGTTTCCGATTTAGCTCAATCCAGATAGCTGTCCTTTTATAAAAAACTTCTTAACCATCCGAACCCTCTTGTTTCCAACCTTGCTTCCTCTTCTATTCCTGATAACCCTCCGAGGCGTCTGAAAAGAAGATGCCCTCGGGACCTTCTAATATAAAAATATAATGGGAGTGCTACCAATGGGTAGTTTCTCTTCATGTTGTACATGTAATGTTACTTGTTCATATTTACTTGTTTTATTTATCATTTAATAAAGTTGTAAATTTCTACAATAATGAGAAAAAATATATATATATATTTTAGGTGTCGAAATTCATTGAAATTTAAATATTTGATAATAAAATAAAAAAATATAATAAAGTTTTTTTTTTTATTTCTTAAAGACATTTACAACTGTATTAAATAAATACATCTAGTAAATTAGAACATAATGTATATAATGACATGAAAAACACTTGCTGAGTAACTACCCAATGGTAGCACTCTAACAATAATAAAGTTAATTAGAAAATTATAATAAACTGGTAGATCACGGCTTTGAATACTTTCATAATTTTCATTCAAATTTTATTCTGAAATAAGTATTTTTGGCTTTGCTACAAGACTGTTTGGAACAACAATACATTCCTTTTGAATCAAGAACTGTTTTTTTAGAACCGGCTATATAATCATTTGGAATAATTATAATTTAAAATTTTGGCTATTGGAGTCTAGGTAAAGCGTCTAGCTGAAATTCAGCTGATTTGTAAAATCACAGAGAATATAGAATATAGAAAAAGAGTAAAATGGCATAAGTCACTCTTAACCATCTACATATTGATTTGATTTTTTTCAAAGATACAATAAAAAAAACAATCTTGTTGAGGCATTCCAAACTAGGCCAAACCACAATTTAATTAAAATACCCTAATAATACCTTGGACTAGATAATACGCAGGTGCCTAACCGCAAAAATAAAAGTCGCCCTCGCCCACTAAAGAATATGTCACCTCACAAGTCTCACATTCCAACCTTATGAGTCCGTGGTACAAACGTCTTTTTATCAAATTATTAACATCCGCCTGAAACTTCGTAAATAGCTTCATCTCATCGTAACCTACATTGTTATTTACGAAAACTCTTGTAATTGGGGCGTTTTCAATCTGGAGATCGGCAAATTTTGTCTATTCAATTAGATATTAAAAACAGTTAATACACATTTGCTTCCAACTTAAATCGAAAGATAATTTGATCACAAAATCGATTAAAAAGGTTGCCTACAAAAATATTGAGCCGTTTGGAGTGACCTACATCCTCAACAATTCAAAATAACGAGGTTATAGTAAAAGCCCAATATTTTTGTAGGCCACTTTTTTCTCGATTTTTTGATCAAATTATCTCAAGATGCAAGTGGAAAGAAAATGCGTATTTCCGAGTTTTTAGTACCTAATTAAATAGAGAAAGTTTGCCGATCTCCAGCTTGAAAACACTCCAATTCCTTGAATTTCCGTAAATAAAATTGTTGTAGGTTACGATGAGATGGAGCTATTAACGAAGTTTCAGGCGGATGTTAATTATTTGATAAAAAGGACTGTACCACGGACTGTCCATGGTCAAGATGAGCAGTTAATTCAAGTTATTAGATCATTTTTTTTTTTTATTATTCAAATAATAAAATCTCAATCTTATTAAAATCCAAATTATGTTACGATTTTTTTTAACGATCAGCAAAACATATTTATGGCTTCAATTATTCACTTATATCCAGTAAATGTTTTGAAACAATTTAAGCTCAAAAAAATAAAAAGATATTATACTTTAAATATTGTCTATTTTCGTTGGTATCATTTCATATGAAATGCGTAAGTTCATATATCAGAAAAACTAAAAACTGTACTCAAAATAAAAAAAATAAAATAATTTAATTAAAAGTAAAAATCGAATAAGTAAATAATCTTATCCATCCTAAGTGTAATCTGATTTCTATATGTTTTTCATTTTTAGGTTCTCTCTTGTCTCGCCTTTTAGGCTATATGGGATATTTTCGGACTCCGGACTCCGCGGGTTGAGGGCGGGGAATTAATATCAGAGTTTTTTTTTGTTTTTTTTTTATTATTATGGTATATACATTTTGCCACAAATATCAGAGTTAAAATATACTAAGAAAATCAATATTTATTAAATTACTTATATTTATCTTTTTTAAATTTGCTACTCAACTTATAATTTAAACTATAATAATAATAAAGGAAAGAGATGGTCCGGAGTGGCGGTCATAACTAGGCTGAATAGTGGCAAAACTATTTTATTAAAAGCCCGGCTTAATAAGGCTATATTATTAAGGCTATATATATATTAAACTATTAATAAGGATTTTAATAAAATAGTTTTGCCACTATTCAGCTTATCTATGACCGCCACCCCGGACCATCTCCTTCCTTTATAATGCAACGGTCAACTATTAAATACTAAATGTAATAATTGTAGAATATTTTAACCTTTTAACTGGAAAAATACATCTAGGTAAAAAATTTAAATATATTATCTTAGATTTATTTACCAACAACTCTTGAAAGAGCTTCAAGGATTTTCCATATCGATAAAGATTTATCTGATGCAAACTATAAGAAATAATTAATTAAAAACTAGCGAATTCAAGGATACCTTACTACAATCTTAGTTTTTTTTTTTTTCCACTTCCGACACACAACTTAACAAAGAATTGCTATTATCCGAATGAAGTTCAGTCGTTTCATATACCTACCATTTTGGACTAATCGAATTGAAATCACCAGAGGCACCTTCGTATTAAACTCCCCAGGAAATAATGAATAAGGAAAATGATCAAATAAATATAGGAAAGAAACTCTTAACTAAGTAAAAAACCAGCGCTTATGGAACACAATTACAATTTCAATAATATGATATTTCAATATTTCAATAATATTGTTTACAATACAATAAATATGAATACGAAAATAAGAATTATCAGTGCCTTATTTATGAGAATTATCAGCGTTAAGGTTATAAACATTGGCAGATAGCAGTCGGTTCCGACCGGCTATTTGAGGAGTACCTCGTATTGTGTTATTTTTAAACGAAAAATATTAAAACTAGACGATCATCCAGAAGTTGAGGAATCTTTTTATATCTGATTATTGCCGCAGATTTGAAGAAGGTGTCCAATTTTCGAAGATATATATTTACAGAAAAGACCAAGTTTTTCTTTGATAATTTGTTTAAGAAGAGTGACAAGCATATTTTAATGTCATTAAAGATTAGCCTGATAATCTAAAAAAGAATATTTGTTATGTATTACCTACGTATTATTATTTTCTTTTTAATGTTAATAGTTTCTCATACCTATTGTTATCTGGTCTTGCCTTTGCCTTGATGAAGACCTGAACTTTAGATTGAAACGTCGGTGAAAATAAAAATAAATATTATTTATTTACTTTTACTTTTTATTTTTATGTGAAAACCCCAACCAACTTCTCTTCAAATTCCTATTCATTCAACCATCAGTCCACTATAACGAATATTTTTATTTCACTGGAAAATTTTACTGCACCCATTTTATTTTTCTTTATGAATAAGTCATAGAAACGCCATAAAGGCATTTAATACTTGATTGAAGTGGCCGAATGGATAAGTCGACTAGCGAAGCCTGGAACTTTTAACGGATTCGCGAGATCAGGCATTTTCTTCAGCAAAACAAAATCATAGACACTACGTACATTATATGATTATTTTCAGAAATATTTTTTTTTAGTTTGTAATGTGTTTACATTTAATTGATAATATGGATATATTTTCGTTATTTTGTGCAATTTTTCCATCATTTTAAATTTAAACTTCGATAATAAGAACATTTTGATAATCTGAATAGACCATGCAATCTACGTGTCCGGATTATGAAGACCGTTCTGCCCTACCCCGTGATCCTTAATCGTGATATCCAGGATGTCATTAGCGCCGCCCAGAGATTTGGTTTAATGGCGGTCTGTTTCGGAGAAAGAAATATAGGTCTTAATGCGACTACCGACTCTGACCGGCCATAATCGAAGGGTTTAGACCGATTAGACACTGTCTTTGAACCCGAGGGAGTCGGTGGGAAGGACACAATGAGGTTGGTTCCAATTAGATCGGCTATGAAGCTGTTGGTGGTATGCCGCAGTATCCTAGAGACCATGGTCCGTAGCACCGTCAGGCCGGGCGACCCCTCAAGGATATCTTCCTCAAGAAAGATACGTCTGAGAGACGACCAAATCGCGTGACCAAAGATCTACATGGTCCATAGAGCCAACCGAAAAAAATAGCAACTTGTATACCTAATATTACTGAATGTCAACACATATACTCTCAACACTCGAGTTTTCAACACATAATTTAGTTCTATTTTTTTTTTTTTTTTCAAAAGCAAATCATATACATTTTTTAATTACAATAATAAATTTTAATTAGACAATTTTAATAAAATTTAAAATCAATAATTGCGGCGTTTACTAACTCACAGAGACAACTGCTTTTTGTTACGTCCATTTTTAAAATGTTCATTAAATGACCTGCGTAAATATTTACGAAAAATTTAATTTCTACTGCAAAACATATGACTGAAAAGGAGCCAGATCGAATAGTAAAAATTTAATTCTGTCAGTAGCAAAGTTATTTAAACGTAAATTTTTATAATCTGGAATTATAAATTCCCCCTTTCCTTTTCCATGCATTAAACACCGTAATCATGTAACGCTAAACTCCTCCCAATAAATTAGTAAGTCTCGGCGCCTATCGATATACCTTATAAACCTGTTATTTCTAAGGGAAACTGTCCCAGACTAAATTATCTTTTTATTCTATTTTATTCTAAATGCATTATTTTCCGAATGATATTTAGGTTCTGTAATTAAATAAATAACATTATTATTAAAAAGTGTAATATATATATACTACTTTTCCTTAATCGACCTAAGAGTGTTAAATTTAAACATAACTATTAAATTGGGAATAAGGTCACTTATTAATTATTTAATAAACTACTCAATGTTCATTTCCTCTATGTTTATTGACGTTTCGATCCCGGTATTTTTCTTTTTATAAGTCAACGATGGGATCCTCTTCAAAGCTAGAATTTTAAAAAATAGAGCTTCCACCAGGCCAGGGACACACTGACAGTCTCAGCACCGCCCACTAGCACATATATTAAGCTACTCTTAAGTAGCTAAGTATTTTTAAAATTCTAGCTTTGAAGAGGATCCTATCGTTGACTTATAAAAAGAAAAATACCGGGATCGAAACTTCAATGAACATGGAGGAAATGAACATTCAGTAGTTTATTAAATAATTAATAATTGACCTTATTCCCAATTAAATAGTTATGTTTAAATATATATATATATATATATATATATATATATATATATATATATAATGTCACTAACGGATCCTGGATATAGTTTTTGAGGGAGAGCTTCAGCCCGAAAGATTTTTGTTTTTATGTCTATATTACGAAAATTACTTCGGAAGAAAGAAAGAAACTAAGTACACCTATGAAATGGTATTGAAGTGATTCTTTATGTCCTATTAAACGTAATTAGATGAACAACAATACTTTTAGAGATTTTTTTTTCATAAAACGTGGTTATATTTTATCATTTTGGAGGAGGAGGGGAAGGAAGGGAGAGGCTTCAGCCCAAAAGCCCTTCCCATGTAGATCCGCTTGTGATATATGTTATGGATCCAACATAAGATATAATATTACTAAATATTTCACTTATACGTTCGATGACACTTCTTCAGTAATATAGAAAAAGCTCCAATAAAAATAAAATTGAAATCAGGCAATTCAATACTGTTACAATGCAGCCTCTCGGGGTCAATATTTTGACGAAACATGATATTGACTCAATAATATTGACCGTGTGTAAGGCCCTTAAGCCATTGACCACAAGGTCGTTAACTCTTCTATCCCTGGTGTGTTCGTGATCCGGTCCACCTTAGTTAGCAGTCTTTCCGGAGCAGTCTGCTGCTCAGTTCCGGGACCAGCTCATTGCTCAGTGTGTGTATGGTCAGGTGTTGGCTCCGCAGTTCCATCCATCAAGAGATAACTCTTAAGGTAACTCTTCATGATTATGATAAATTATTGTACTTAATTATGTTATAATATTATGTGAGGCTGCTCTAATAATTTTCATGGTTTCCGTAACTGTTAAACACAGTGAAGACGAAGTAGTTTCTTTTAACTTATAGAGAATTAATGATTGACAAAATGTTCCAGCTTCAGTTCTATAATTCTATTTCATTTATTTTAATTTACATATAGTCGTACATCTCCGCATATATCTGTTATCAATATATTTGGAAAAATATTTATACTTATTTGCTAAACTAAATATTACGTTATATCTACAACGGGTGTTCTTACAATAATTCCAATAAACAATATTACTTTGTTAAGTCCATTTCACTTGACACTATTTAAAAAACGTCCTTTACTAATTTATAAACATGTAGTTATATATTTTTTTTTTTGTACACATAGTGTGAATATGATCTTACCTCCATATCCTAGTGACATAATGTTATATTATTCAATAAATAAATAAAATAAAATTTAATCAATACTAACATTAAAATCCCATTAAATTAGGGTTTAAAAAGTTTATAAAATATAAGGCAATTTATCGTATTGTATAAATACAATAAATTATAAATTAGATAAAGGACATTTTAATAAACAATGTGCATTTTTACTTTGAATTTAGTAGCTAATAAAATTATAGGTATTTGGTGATAAATTATTTTAAAGAATTAAATGTGGTAGTCTATAGTAATCATTGTTAAAATTTGGTTTCAGCATTTGATGGATTTTAATATTAGTATTGATTAAAATTTATTAAAATATTGACCATTGTCTTTTGACAAGTAAAATGGACTTGTTAAATGAAAATTGTTATTGTTCTTAAAAATGAGATCAGTGGATTTGAATAAGCATGTAATTGTTTATAATAACAGTCGAAAAACCTGTTGTAGATTTAAAGTAAAGTGTGTTAAGCAAATTAGTGTAAATATTTTTTCAAATATGCTAATGTTATATTTTTATATGCCGAAACGAACGACTATGCGTAAATTAAAATAAATAAAATAAAATTATGGGACGGAAGATCGAACTTTTTATTAGAGAGAGAGAGAATCACTTTATTATCATAAAATGGTGCTGCCCAATTACATTGGATTGCTAACAACACAGCATACTTATTAATCACTACAGACAATTTTTAAAAATAATATACAATTATATAGGATTAACAATATGTATGAGCATAGTATATAATATTTTAATTATTGTTTATTAAAAGGCTACAATTTGTTCAAGATAGTCATTTTTCATGTCAACAATTAACAAAGAAAGGTTTGCTTTGCTTTTTGATGACATGTTCCGGGGTTGTATGAATTGGTACTTAGATGGTCCAACATCAAATTTATCAAGTCCTAGCTTTAGGATACACAAATTTATTTTCCTTGTTAAGCATATATTTTAATAACAGTTCGTCTCCCAGATTTTATTCCCACACTACGAATCACTAAACACGAAATTAGGTTATAGGAAATAATACTCAATGGAAATAATGAAGAAGGAAGCTATGCTCATCCTACTTACCAGACTTTTTTTATCTAAAGTAAACTTTCTAAAACCGACTTTCGATAAATTACTTTGTATGTATATCTAGCAGAATTCATCACCATTCTTGAAAATTCAGTGAGTCGCCGAATTCAACCCTTTTTTCAGTTATTTTACGTCGAAAAATAAAATACCGTATCACTCTAATCATCTGTAAAAAAATTAACAGTTTAAAAAATGATATTTTTTGTGATGTTTTACCCCAATTGTTCTAATTGTAAGTGAGTGTTAGTCGAAAAAATATTAGGAACGTTATAAATAATTATAATTTTTTTATAAGTCTCTGTCGTATATTTCCGGTTTGAAAAAAAAATATATTAAATAAAATCCTCATCTGTTGCTCAAGGTGACAGCTAATGTATGAGTTGAAGGTTTGGGTTGTGACCTTCTCAAGATATACGCAACTTTTTCAATTTATAAAAAATGCATTTTTTTTCTATGTGTGTATTATCTTATTAATTCAATTATATTTATTTTTTACAGAATTTATGGAACAATATTTGTATATGAAAACTTAATTGTACTTCTCCAATTAAAACTTTTCTCGTACAAATATATTTTATAGTTATACGGAGAATAGTACAGTCAGTAGATCACCAATTTCAACCAATTATTTATTTTTGAAATGAAAAATTCTTTAGCCGCATTTTGCACTTTTTTGTGGAGAATGAATTAGATTGATACGTCAGAATTCGCTCCTTATAAACATTTGTATAAAGTCGACTAATTAAAATGTGAAAGATATTTTATGTATGGATTAAAATATCTCAGAGACTAAAAAGCGTACCTGCATACTGTAAGCGAGGAAACCGTTCAGCATTTCATCCTTTCTATAATAGACTATAATTCAAAATTGTATCTTAAAACGCGGCGCCATTTTGAAGAGGCGAAAAGGAAAAAATAGTGTCGAAAACCAAATAATAACGAATTTTATGGAAGATGTGGATTAAAATATCTCACAAACTAAAAATCAGACCTGAATACTGTAAGCGATGTAAATTGTCAGAATTTCATTCTTTTTATATTATTTATAATTTATATTTTATATTATTAATCTCGCCTTGTTGATGTTTTCGCTTCTACCGTGTCGTCCAAAGCATGCATCTTAGTTGTTTTTTTGTGATCCTACATCGAAAAATAGTAGAAACCTACCCTAGTGTTCGTTCCAATGGAGCCTAGAACGGAAACAAAAATAGAAAATTATATTTTTTTCCAAATTTTATTCCAATTATTCTGAATCGACAAGAAGACGCACCGTCGAGTTTTTACATTGAGTGGCTTTGAGTCTTTCAGTTGACAGAATGACTAACTCCAATTTCAACATTTTCGATTATTATTTTTATTGATATTTCTATTGGTATAATGGATGCCTTTATTCACAGCTCTATATTTCAAAACTGCAATTCGCTACGATGGAATGAACTTACTCACTGTCTTTACAGATATTATAAATTTTTCAACTAGAAATATCATTAAAATTAATAATGAACTTGAAGTTAGTCATTCTTTCAACTGAAAAGCTTATTTAATGGCCTTAAATCAGCATGAAGTCAGAAAATTGTGTTTTTTTTGTGTAACTATAATTGATATACAGAAGGGTTGGTGGCATTTTAGTCAACTAACTATTTATTTTTTTATCATTATATAAGGCAAAATTCACAAAAAAGTTTTAAAAAGTTCAAACTCTCCAAAAATGTATAATGATTTTTTGTAATAAACTACCTATGCCTTTTTTTTTATTTTTTTTTATGACATCAAATGTGCTCGAGACATTTAAATGAACTTCTGGAACTGAAAAATCCCAAAACACGTTGTCTCGTATCGATTAAAGTGGGCCAAAAACAATTTTTAAGAATGAAACACGATCATATTTGTTTTCAATTTAAAAAAAAAACCTTAAATATTAGTATTCAAGAAAATAAAAAATTATTTAGTCTATTAACATTTTAATTTGATCTATTGAGTTCTATAAGAATTATTAAGAAAACGTCAGGAATGTAGGAAAACATTGGTAAGTAAAATTTACCGGCTAAAATAATTTTTCTTAAAAACTGGTATTTAAACGTTTTTTGGAATGGAAACAAACGTGAACTTGTTTCAAACTTTATTTTTTGTTTTATTTATGGCGACTACATGTTTTAAAATGACGGAAAAATATCATTATTAAAATTATAATTTTTTCTCTAATCCTGTGGTCCATCGGAACCAATTCCGGAACAAATGTCCTACTTTTTTTTTCCATTTAGAATCATCAAAAAAAAAAAATTGTAGAAATCGGCGGCCTACTGACCGCCATTTCTTTCTCCGTTTCTTCAAATATATTTATATTTTATCCAATTATATTTTATTTCAGTTTTTCTGCATCCACAAAAATACGTATCGTGGGACATTTCATGACCTTAAGTCTCCAAGAACTTTGATGAATTTCCCCTCTTTGAAATCTGAAAATTTTGCGTTTGTTTTGATATATAAATTGATAATAAAATTTATTGATATATAAAATGGTTTTTGTCATTTTAGTGCGCTTACACTGTTTTTTTTTTAACGATAATTTTTTTTTTTTTTTGGGTTATTTGTTTATTGATAATTATTACAATCTGTCTTAATAAAGAAAATTTATAATAGAGTTCAGAGAGCACATTCACACCATATTTACAAAATCAAAAAATAAATAAGGTAATTTCAAAATAATATAGAGCGAAATAAGAACAAAATAAAATATCATAGTGAGGGAAGAGAATATAAATAATATTAATAATAGAATAAAAATAAATGAATAAAATATAATTAAAATTTTCTTTAAAAAAATAAAAGTAATAAAAATAAACATCTTAGACGCAAGCATACTTATTTACACTATTTACAGTCGGCCATAGGAACTTCGAACCAAAGTTGTCTCTCCACATGTGGGGGAACTCCAATATATACATGTTATCGATAAATAAGGTCAAAATTCAGAAAAACGATTTATACGAGAAAAATGTTAGCTGGATAAGTAAAATTAAATTCTCGTATACAGAAGTCTCCGCATACATGTAATTAAATTTACAAGATATCACACAAATTTTAAAAAAATGATACTTTTGTCAACTGAAAAAGCTCAAATCTTCTTAAAAGTCACAACTTGGACCTTCAACTTATATGGAAGCTGTCAATTTGCGCAATAAATCAGGATTTAATTTTTTTTTTTTTTTTTTTTTTACAAACTAGAAATATATGACAGAGATTGTATAAAATAAAAATTATTTTACGTGATATAAAAGTTTTCCATCATACTTGACGAAAATAAAAATCCTTTCTACTCTTCAGGGTCTTAACGTCCTTGTTGGAAACCTTAGCTTCAAAGCAATAAAAATAATTACGTATTTAATAACAAGGTAGAATTCTGGATTTCTATTCATATTTATTTATCATGTAATCATATGTTAAACAGTCTTTATAGCTCAGTGCTTTTCTATATATATATATATATATATATATATATATATATATATATATATATATATATATATATAATATGCGGTTTCTCATTTATATATATGTATGCCAATATTTCAATCAGAACGGCTCGTTCAATATGGTTCAAAGTTAGACGAAGCTAAAACTACGCAGAATAAATTTGATCGAATTCCATCTACTGTTTCTAAGTACAATTTCTTAGTCAAGATAGTGAATAAGTAATAAAAAATAGTGAACAAGTGGTCTTCACTCGATGATTTAATTCCATTTTACAATTAAATTAATCTACCTAATTATTAAGAATATAATGACTGTGATACATGTAAGACATTAAAACAACAAAAAGTTATTTCTATGCTACAATTACATGCGAGAGTTGATACAATATAGATTTTCTCAATTTCCGTCTAATTCTTTCACTTATGCATCCGTTTTTCCTTGACAAGAATATTATTCCTTCATACACGGCTTCTCCTCAAACGACAAATTAAAAGTTTTGAAATATAGCTAATTCGCAACTAACTAAAATGGAACGGAAGCTAAACTTACTCCAATGGGCAGAATTTTTTTTGTATGAGTTAAACTATTAACTAAATCTCCTAAATGTATATAGCTATTTATGTGTGTGTTTTTTTAAATTTACTAATCTTTAAGTTATTTTATTTTATATACATTGTAGTATAGTATATACTTTTTGATTAGTGTTTAGTTGTTATTTTGCTTCTGTTTATTTCATTTTTTTTTTACATATAGCGCGAACGTGGTGGAGCGGGGTATCTCAGTGTATTAGCACTGACTTTCAGAGCTCAACGTCCCTGGTTAGAATCCGGCTGATGACTTAGTAATTTTTCATCAGCCGTGGGTCGACCGTGGGGCCGAGAGACCCTCCTGGGGCAAATCCAGCCTTTACAAAGTGGGTGCTCTTAATTAAATAATTGATTAAGAGGGAAAACCTGGCGGTTGAGATATTGACCCGTCACCTCCCTGCACAACCGCGGGCCTTGTAACAGTACTTCCTCACATACTGAGCCTGAGCCTAAGACCCTTCATCGATTGTTAGTGGTACAGGTTTTTTTTTACAGTGTGAACGGAATCTTACATCCCTATAAATATAAATAAAATAGACAAATAAACAAAAAAATAAATAAATTTCCTAAAGGTTGATTTAAAATTCAGTTTTTATTACAAAACTGTAAGGCTTATCCTTTTTTTATTATTAATTAAGGAAACACTATTTTATAATTTGAACCAGCGAAATAGTCTCTTTAGGTAGTTGATAAAGTTACATTTTTTTCAAAAATTATATCTTTATATGTTTTTATAACTGATTGATTGATTTTTTTTTTTTTTTTTTGTTACAGTTGAATGTAGTAACGATGTGGATTTTGGCTATTCTATTATATGTGCTAGACACAACAGATGGACAACGATCATTTCTAGAGGAGATTCAAAGACAATATTTAAAACAAGGAATTCCTTTTCGAGAAAACATATACATAGATAACTTGCCCGTGCTTCAGCAATATGACTTCATAATAGTAGGTTCCGGTCCTACCGGATCAGTCATAGCGAACAGGCTTTCTGAAGTCCCTTATTGGAATATTTTACTCTTAGAAAAAGGTCTAGAAGGGAACTTCTACAATGACCTTCCATTCACAAATCCGTTTTTGGTCTTAGGGGACTTCAGCGTGATGATTGATGTTGAAAGAGAAGAGAACGTTTGCTTAGGCCTAGTAGACAAAAGGTGTCATTGGCCTTCTGGAAACGGAGTAGGTGGAGCAACGTTAATTAATGGAATGATGTACACTCGAGGACATCCTTCGGATTACGACAGTTGGGCACTGGCAGGAAATCCCGGATGGTCATTTAGCGAAGTTTTGCCTTATTTCTTAAAAAGTGAAAACATGTCGATAAGTACTTTGGCCGGATCGCCATACCATTCCACGAACGGCCCTCTTCATATTGACAGTCCTTTTACCTCGAAATTGGGAAAACTTTTCTTAAAAGCCGGAGAAGAACTCGGATATCCCATTGTGGATTACAATAACCCGGAAACTATGGAGGGATTCAGTACCACTCAGATCACAGCGAAAAGAGGAAGAAGACATAGCGCAGCAACGGCATTCTTGTTACCGGTAAAATCTAGGACTAATTTACACATTGTTAAAAACGCTTTTGTTACAGAAATTCTAATTAGCCCCTCTACGAAGAAGGCTTATGGAGTGAAGTATTTAAAAAATAACAAAGAAAGAACTGTACGCGCAACAAATGAAGTAATTGTTTCTGCTGGCGCATTTGATTCCCCCAAATTGTTGATGTTATCAGGAATAGGACCGAGAAATGATTTGAAGAGCATGAAAATACCCATCATTGCAGATCTTCCGGTAGGAAAGAATTTACAAGAGCACCTTGGTACACCAGTTCTCATGTTTTTAATCAATACAACAGACAGTTACAATGTACCGAAACTATTGAGAACGATGCCCATCGATTTCATTCAATGGTACAGTGGTGTGAAGAACATCTATGCCAATAATGGAGCAGAAGCCATTTCCTACATGATGACAAAGTATGCAGAAGGGAAACCGGACATCGAGCTAATTCTAGCTCCATCGTCCCTTATTGCAGACGACGGCTTAATGTTGAGAAAGACTGTCGGTATTACTGACGAGGTATACTTCAAGACCTGGGGGAAATTAAAGTACGCCGAATCTTTTCAAATAGCACCATTGATGATGTACCCCAGAAGCAGGGGTGAACTGAGATTGAGAAGCCGAAATCCTAAAGACCCGCCGTTGATAGATGGGAATTTCTTTGCTGATTCTTATGACATTAAAGTTATGATTGAAGCGATTAGAGCAGCCATTAAGATTACGGAAACCAATACCTTTAGGAAAATCGGTGCCAAGCTGTATCAAGTTCCATTATTCGGTTGCGAACAGTTTACCTTCAACTCGGATGACTACTGGGAGTGTGCTATAAGATCAGTACCTGTACAGTATCACCACCAATCCGGGACCTGTAGAATGGGACCCGAACGAGGTGATTCTGTGGTGGACCCGAGACTGCGGGTTCATGGAGTAGCGGGCCTAAGGGTGGCCGACGCTTCCATAATGCCCGTTATGCCGGGTGTCCACACGATGGCTGCCTGCTATATGATCGGGGAGAAGGCTGCAGATATGATAAAGGAGGATTGGGGGTTCAACAATCTATAAAAATGAACTGATAAAATACATGAGTAAGGATATATTGTACATAATTAAAATAGTTTAAATAAACAGACTGATCTCTACAAAATAAGTAGTAACGTATCGAAAGATATTATTGAATTTATTTATAAATTATAATTTGTTCCAAATAAATTATTTCATTATATATTACCTATTTATTAAACACAGTGTCTACAAAATACAATAACCCTTATTCCATTATCTTAGTTGTTAAAGTGATTATGTGTGTTAAACTGTAAATTTTGGTTAGCTGCAATAATTTGCCAATGAGTTAGAATCCTGAAATACTTAAAATAAAAAAACAATATTACAAGATTAGTTCTTCTTATTGTCTGTAAGTTGTTATTATTAAGTTGTCTGTAAACATTATTTGGTTAAAGGTGTGAACGCCAACCGATGACAGTATAGACATTGTTAGTACTAATGGCAAGGTTGTTTGTTTCGTTTTCAAATAAGGAATGTTACAGGCGACGAATTTATACGTTTCGTTATTACTAAAAATACTACAATTTTCCAAAAATCCGACTACTAAAAACAGACAAAAGTCTGCCAAGACTTAACATTCAACTTCATTTGCAAAAAAATTAGAGGGCAGCAAATATCGAGAATTTTGCTTTCATCGAAAATAAAAAATATTTGTTCATACTTGATGGTTGCTTTGACCTCGATTCAATCAATGACAGGAGTTAATTTTATCTGATGGCTATATTTATTTTAAAATACATTACCTATAATACTGAATATGAAATGCAATTTTTATGGGTTGGAACTACGTTTTCTTCAATAACTTCAATGATTTGTAATATTTTATTTATTTACAAACCGTTGACTTATTTTACTTAAACGTAGTTTTAAACAAATAGGATCGTTAATAAAGTTGTAAATATAATTGTCCCAGCTAATTTTAAATTATTAATTTCAGACAGGAAGAAATAATATATGTTTCACTTCTTTCCTATTTTTTCTTATAAAGAAGAAAATTCAGGTTGCAAGTAGATCTACTTTTTTTTAATGGTCTTAAAAGGGAGGAAAATGCTAACTGGCGAAATTTTTTATTCCTAAACGGGAACATTCTGGATAGTTTTATTGACCTCAGCACGTTTAAATTATTTTAAAAATAGTAATTGAACATTTAAATCCTTTGAGGAAACTATTACTGTAAGTCAAAATTATTAAGAAATTAGTCAGTCACTGATAATTGTGCAGTTAAATTCTGAAAATGATCTCATAAAATCGAAAACTGGCTATTAATTCTAAATTTTCATTCATTTTACAAAACAACTAAATTTTACCTGGATAAAATGAGGAAAGAATTGACTAAATTAATATCACTTGAAGCATACGTTAAACACTGTCACTACAAAAATTAGTATCATTCTTTTAGAGCCAAAGCAAAAAAGAAAATAATGTCCGCACGCGCTATATACATTTTCGCGCCTTGCCTGAGATTGACTGTACATCAGTGTTACCAAGTCCTTCAAAATAATAAACATAGCGCGTAAATGTTCGTACACATTTTTACATTTGAAACATATAATAAGGGAAAGAATTGTGATCGAGAAAAATTTCAAATCCAAGCATTCAATGGAAATGGGTGTTGTAAGGACCCCTTAAATCAAAATAACCAAGTCTCACACAATAGTTTGCATGTGTTTTTGGAAATTATTACTAATTTAATGTCCAGGATGTTACAGCAAATTTTCATTAAATCGACCAACCTGAACTGGTAGTGTATATAATCGATTTTAGACTTTATTTGTTTATAATTTTTCTTGAAAAATTAAACTCAGTATGCACTGATACTGTGACTTACGAAATATTGGGGAGAGGGCAAGGTTGGCACACCATACATTAACTGGTTCAGTCATTATTTTATTACCTGTAACAAAACAACATACTACATACAATTACTACTTGTATGGTTTAGTGAACGGTTTTTTTAAGTTATTTTTGAAGTAAATGACTCTTTTTTTTTTTTTTTTTTTTTTTTTTTTTTTTTTTTTTATCCCTAACCGTTATATCCAAGAGGGAGGAGGGAGGGTTGTTCTAATGTTACAACCAGACTTATTCTAGCCAGTAACTAAAGTGGGGAGGTAGAGATAAGTTTCAGTCCATCCAAGCAGGACTGAACCTGTCGCTCCAGAATGTTAAAAGTAATGTAACACTGGGATAAAGTTCCTTAAAATATAATAAATTTAAACAGAAAATATCTGTTGGAAGCATCACACAATTTCCACTTACCAATATACTAATACATTGAATAGAAATTATTTTCAGGCAAAATTGGACTATTAAAAGATGTCTTTGAAGTGCCTTTTAATGGAGGTAAACCTTAAAGAACACATTTGTAAATTTCGGTCAAATTACTAAGAAAACTCATTACAACCAGAAAAATAACACTAACCGTAATTAGTTCATGTCGAAGGTAGGTGATGAAAATCTTGTAACTCCATCGATCTATTAATACCAAATAACTCCCATCTCTAATATAAATGTGATTTTAAATATCTTTGCATATAGGGCTCAGATATATATATTTATAATCTCTAAATAAATAAGAATAGTACTATATAGTAAAAATGATAGGATCACCCTAAATCTGTATCACTTTATAACTGTTTTAAACTCTAATATTTTTGTTTGTGAAATTTACCAAAATGGAGTTTTGTTTTGGTCAACAAGGTTTCTGTAGCCTCGAAATAGTATAATTAAGTGCATAATGAGATTCATTGTGATTCTTAACTATCACTTAATGATTTTTCTGAATAAACCAATGATATATACCTAATTACTTAACTGTGTCATCAAAGCTATAGGTTATAAACATATGTTTTAATCTCCCAAAATACTGATTGAAACATTTGTATATTCCACTTCTTCCCAATTAAGTACAATAAAATAATTTTTTTTTTGGCAATTTCATTATTTCATTATATATAGTGAATTATATATAATTTCTTTTTCAGGCTCAAAATAAATTTTAGAAGTTTCTACAAAAATTTTATTCAGTTCCCATGGAAACATTTATTTTCCATGCAATAATATAAAAATTTGAAATTATTAACTAAAACAATATTTATTTATTATATAAATAAAACGGTTCTGAAATAAATTAGTCAGAAATCAGTAAATAATTAAACAGTAAATAAAAATGAATAAAATTAAACGATTATCAGCAATTGCCACTTCTAAGATTAAACAAAAATCACAAATAGATAGGGTGTTTTCACTATGATAGCTTTTATGTTTTGTTTTTTCAATGAGCTAAATTAAACACATATGATTGACCCAAGTGGGTGTCATAAACAGTGCAATATGTGCACAATCTTCAAATACACATGTTAATAAAAATACAATAGAAAAAAGTATAATACTAATAAAATATAAATATTCCAGCCACACTGGGCAAACCTGAAAAAAGAAGTTCAAAATTTATTTAAATTCACTGTTAACTATAGGAGTTGGGTGAATAAATAAATAACTATTTTAAATTTAAATAAAAGATAAATTATGTATTTTATAAACAATAAATTTTATACTGAATAAATAAGCAGTCAATCTGTATTTTAAAGCAAATAAGCTTTATTTCAAGGATAATTCAGAAAAAGGATCGAAATCTCCCAATTGAACCAGCTCTTTGCTTTTTTCCCAAAGTTCTCTGGCAAGTTCAGAGTTCTTTGCTGTTTCGCTAGGATTAGCAACTGCACAATCACTGAAACATGTTGTTACAATTATAAAAAACACAATAATAACTACAAATATGAAAAGAAAGGAAATGAAAAAAAAAAATTCATACAAAATAATATTCAGTAACAGTAATATTTTTGGCATAATCTTGTAAAGAAGAATGATTAGTGATGTTTTCACTACAAAAAAAATTGAATTAAATTATTAAAAAATTCTTACTACGAACCAAATTACAGCCAATCAGACCTTAAGACCATGACCTAGAATGTGGAACTGCAGACAAGAATGTGGAACTGCAGAGCAGAATGTGGATAACTTCCCTATACCAATCATTGGGTTTGAAAGAAAAAAACTCTTCATTACTAGCAATTATTTTCTATTTGATTTGATCATTAGCTCCAAGACTGGTCTTTTCCTCACTCATATACTGAATACTATTTTCTTATACTCTGTAGCCCCAATAAATTATGAAATTAGTTCTGTAAATAGTAAGTTATGAGGAGTAACATTCAATAGTATATATTACCATATAGGATTAGAAAATTATATTATTTAATTATTTCTTGATTGTCTTCTAATACCAGACAAATGTCGCTTTTCTGTTCATTATAATTATTCTTAGGGGACTAAATGTCCCAGAATAAAATTTACTTTATTTGTTTGGCAATAATAACTTCCAGTTGTTAACAATTGAGTATATTTTTTACTATCAACGTTACATGTTAACAGGTTAGTTGATGTTTCAGGACCTTTATTCCCATCTTCAGAACTGCAATTCCAATACTTAGTGGATGCAAGGCTAAAAATTTTTTAAGTTACAATATTGTGCTTGTTACAATACATATTTGAATTATGTTTGTTACAATAAATTTGTAATTACCTTTTTTTTTTAACTTTTATTATGATATTTACAACTGTATTAGTATGAATACATCAAGTAAATTTGTACAGAGAAATATTATTACATGAAACACGCTTGTTGAGAAACTACCCACTGGTAGCACTCTAATAATTTGTCTACAAGAGAAGATCACGAGGCCATCTTCTTTTCAGACGCCTCGGAGGGTTATCAGGAATCGAAGAGGAAGGAAGGTTAGAAACAAGAGGATTCGGATGGTTATGAAGTTTATTATGGAAGGATAGGTATCTGGATTTGGCCAAATCGGAAACATATGGAACATTGAGGTCTTTATGGATTATTTTATTAGTGACAAAGTAAGGAGCATTCAGGAACCTTAATTTTAATAATAATAATAATGTGCTCCATCGTCAATTTTCTAATTTATGTTCTAAAATTTATCATCTAGAGCAACATTCTCCTTTTGACCAATAATTGGGTTTCTGCCATAGTGAAAAATTGACCTTTGGATCAAACTGTTTTATCTGACTATTTTGATTGTTGTTGTTAGTGTTTATTTTATGTGTCTGTGATTTCACTTCTATTAAATTTTAATCTTGTTCAATATGTCTGTATAATGGGTTCCTAAATGTTTAGTGTCTGTTTTGTAGTTGACTGTTGTTCTGTTGTTTTTTGTAATGTGTATTGCTTCAAGTAATTTTCTATTGGTGTTTTTTGGTTCTGTGCCTATTATCTGTGGTTTGTTAAAGTTAAATTTATGCTGTAGTTTTATACTGTGATGTGCTAAGGCTGTTGTGTTTATGTTTTTTGGATTTTTACAGTTGGTGATGTGTTGTGAGATTCTAGTTCCTAATTGTTTGTATGTTTCACCAATGTAGATTTTGGGGCAGTTTTGACAGTTTAATTTATATATTGCATTTTTCATGTTTATTGGTTCTATTTTATCTTTTGTCTTGGTGATGTGCCTGCTTAGTTTCTTGTTATTGTATTGTCCGAGTTTAATTTCTGTCAAGTCATAATCTTTGAACACATTTCTAATTTTGTTAGTGAGTTCAGGTATGTATGTCATTTAGTAGTAGTAGTTGAAGTCCATTTTGTTTGTTTGTGCTATGTTATCCTGATTTTTTTCGTTTGTTGGATTTGTTTTTTTCAAAAAATTGGGTGATGAATTGTTGTGTAGGTTTCTTTATTGTAATGAAGATATTATTGCCAAACAACTAAATTAAATTGACAATTTTCCAGGAAAAAAATAAATAAATAAAATTTACTTTTCTTTCTTTCTTACCGTCTACTTTAGTCGGACACAGTTTATCAATAACAGGATTTTTTCTCATATTAAGGTATAAGATTTTTACTAAGCTAGAAACCACATATTAATAGAAAACAAATTAATCATAAATAATAATAGTTAATTGAATAGTTATAATAGTCAACAAAAATATACTTCAATTTCATTATTCATTATTAGTAAGTGACTCACTCATAATACAATCCGGATTGAATACTGTCGTCTAAAGCACAGAACAATGTGGTCTGGGCGCCCTGCTCTGGTGTCTTCAAAAACCATGATCCAAATTTTTGTAACAGCCCGACAAACCAAATGAAAGAGAAAGCTTTAGAGGTGACTAGATCCCGTGAAATTTCAGTATAGACTACACCTGGATGCAAGCTCACGGTCTTTACTTCTGTACCTATAAACATAATATAATTACTTAAACACGTATAGTAAATATATTATAAAAAATGTAACCGTAACTGTCCATAAAACAAAATATATTTATATTAACAGCAGAAAGGCCATTTAAAATACCCAGCAATTCAAGTCATATTAAAATATGATTTAGTGATACTATGAAGTTTAAACTGGGATTACTACATTCAAATTCAAAAAAATATTTGAAATTCCAAACATATTGTACCATAAAGAAGGTGGTATTTTCAATTTAACAACACAACCAAAGAATAATATAAAAAGACATGGATCATTCAATTACCAGATTTTATTGATAAGTAATGTAACATAAAGAAACCTCAGATTTTTTTTTCATAAGTTTAATACTCAATAAAAATATTAGGTAATGAAAAAAAGATAAAATAGCAATGACAGAGCAATAGTTATTGATAAATAAGGAAGTTTCTGTAATAGCCATAAACACACTATTGCTTTAAATATTTCTAACATACAAAAAAATGTTTATTTGATTTTTAGGACAGAATTATTGAATTAAATTGTAACTTTTGGAATTTTTCTTACAAACATTACAATAAAGTTTTTAATACGTAAATAATTTAACATCAAATTTATAATATTTTAAGTCCATAGGTATATAAAAGTATATTTTACCTTCCAATCGCTTTGCTAGTTCCAGAGTAAATAGAATATTAGCTAATTTACTTCTTCCGTAAGCAGTCCATGGATCGTAATTTTTCTCCATGTTTATATCATCAAAAAAAAGTGAGTCACCTGAAAAAAAAAAAATTATAAAATTACACATTATTGATGACATTTTATTTTAATAATAAGACTAAGAATTTTAAAATGGAATCTGAGAAGCAAGTACCTTGAGAGACCATCAAACTTTTGGGTCAACTTACTGAAACTAGTTTTGGAACGGCAATATTTTCAAGGTGTATTCCTTTTCCAAACCTTTACAATCAAAAAATGTTCTTATCTTCTTGATTTCTTCACAGCTTGTTCCTCTGTTTGTTTGTTCAATAATAATCAACAACGTTCATTGATTCCTTCTCATAGAACTTTTTTTTTGGGGGGTCCTCCAGTTCCTCGCCTTTAAGACTCATCCTCATCCTTGACCTCATTTCATTGAACTTTTATTTTTCCATCTCCTCAGTAATTAATCTTCCGAATATATGTAAAAATAAAGTTATTTTTTACTTTAGAGATGTCTGCCATATTTTACCGATATCTTGCAGATATCTATGTATGTGCCAAATTTCTGATTTGTACAAATGCGTAAACTCACTCGTATGTATTTATCTTTAAATTCAAATGTCTACTTCAAGATTATATATCTACTACAGTATCTTTTCTTCATTTTAATATTAGGGTTAGACAACTTTGTAAATTAATTCATTTTTAATTGTTTTCTAATGCCAGACAATTGGTATTTCGTAGTTCATTATAGTTATTCTGAGGAGATTAAATGTTCCAGAATAAAATTCACTTTCTTTCTTTCCTTTTAGAGACTAACGGATGAAAATAAGAATGAATCTTTTCAATTATTGTAATGAAGAAACATTTTAACTAAATTGATTTTAACAAGTCAGAAATATTGGTGAATCCAAGAAAATTTTCATTATTTGTTTACAATCATCTTTTCAGTTTAGTCTTATTTGATAAATTTTCTTTGAACATAATTGCCAAAGCTAATATTAAATATGTTTAATAAATACTTAAGTAACAATGAAATAGTGAAAACATGAATCATAAGTTTGAATCACTTCTGTCAGGATTATTTCCATTTTATTTTATTTTTTATCCGCTATCTTAATGAGGTGTGTTTCTGTTCTAAGGAGTTGAGCAAGATTTACTTGTTTCAGCAATATACTAACAGCATTTAACAAAACATGTATCATAATAATTACAAGCAAACCAACTAATTTGATTTCTCTCCTTGGAGAAGAGGTTCAAAACGTCTTCTAGTAGAGCAGCTAATAACTAATATAAATTACAGTTTATACCATATCATAATAAAATATTAATTGAGATCATTTAAAAATTAAAACTTACAATATGTGTGCCCAAGAGAAGAAACATTAATTATCCTGGATGGACCAGACTGAATCAAAATCGGCAGTAACAGCATGGTCAGAAGGAAATGTCCAAGATGATTCGTACCAAAATGAGTTTCAAAACCATCAACTGTTACAGAATGGGAGTTCATAAGCACTCCTAAAACAGGAAGTTTAAGATAAAAAAAACAAATCATAAATATCTATTATTATATGAAATAGAAGAATCACCTTTATTCTGGGACAAAGTTCCTTAAGAATAGCAATAATGATCATGAAAATTAACATTAAATCTGGCCAAAATATATATTACAATAAAAGAATAACTAAAATGTAAGTAATAAGAGAATTATTTACATAGCTATACAGATATATTAAAGAAAAAAGATGAGCAATTAAGTCACAATAATGCAAAATAGTTGCCACAAACGATAAAGTAAGAAATAACTCAATGAAATTGTAAAAGAATGATAAATTACTTTTTGTTGTCAAACCATTATAGTAATGAAAAAAAAAAATAATAAAAAACATAGATAAATATTTACAATAAATAACTTACATCTGTACCTTAATATGTTCAAATGAGTACTTATAATGGTATTGTAAACATTAGATAAGTCTTATAATCTATATAATTAAACGTGGATTGATAGGAGAAAACAACAGAAAATCAAAAAAAGATAATATTCATATATAGGAGTGCGTTCAATATTAGTAAAAAATTAAATATATCTCAAAGACTTAAAATCTTAAATGAAAAAAATAAATAAATAAAGCAATTCCCAGTATATGTATATATGTGTATATGTATAAAAGAATAAATTGTTTAACATTATTTATATGTTTCTAAATTAAATAATTTCCAAAAAATTACTTCTTTTTTTTTAAGAAGCATCAACTTCTGATTTGAGATCTGTTAACTTAGTCTCTGATAAACTTATCTAGTCACTATCAATGATAATTCAATTAAAAATACATTAAAATAAACAAAAAAAAAAAAAATAAAGTAAACTATTACATACATAATATATATTTCAAATCTCTTGAAGTATTATTGTCCGTGTAATTACATTTAATAGGGCTTCAAGAATCACTTAAACACCATTTCATATAGGTAGTTATCTTTATTTTTTTTTCCAAAATAATTATAGATATATATATAAAAATTTTTCGGGCTGAAACCCTTCCAAAATTAAATCCTGGATCCGCAAGTGACTGCTATTTAACATTTAATGTATAAAATATCGTAAGATTGACAAAGAAATGATGCAAACCTATCAGCTGAAGACTAGCGATAGAGTCATGTAGTTAATAAAAAGGACCCAGTTGTATTTCAGAAAAGAACTTATCAATTTTACCATTAATATTTTTGTCAATTCTTCAATTTTTTTAACAGAAGTACCTGACTAGCCTCGGCATTGCTAAACATAAACAACTCACTAGTACACACTACAATTTATACTAAAGCACAGCTATGTAAGTTTTATGTTCATACAAAATATAGAAATAACTAATATATTTTTTAATCATTAACAGGCTCTACATTTTAAAAAACTTAAGCATTTGTCTAGTAAATTTCATAAAAGTTTTACTTTTTCGTTATTCAACATTTCAAAAATATGTATTCTTTGTTTCCTGCAATTGTTAATATTTACAAAATTAACAGTAAAAATTATAACATAATATAGAAATATAATATTACTAGTAATATTATAATAATGTAATATTATTATACATATAATATTACCAGCATTATTGATGAGTAGGTGGAGAGTTTTGTGCGAAGATGAGAATTCCTTGCAAAATTCCCTCACTGACTCCAACGAAGATAAATCCAACTTCATGATTTCCAACTCGGCTTTTGGAACAATGCTGCAAATATCTTTTGCAGCAGCTTCTGCTCTTTCAATACTACGACAGGCCATCACAACATGTGCTCCTTAAAAGAATATATATAACATAAAATAAACCTATCATTTGATTCAGTGATAACTGTTCATTTAAAATTGTCTCAATTCCAGATAAGTTGAACACGAGAACAGAAGCTCACCTCTCTTAGCTAGATCTAAAGCTGTGTATTTTCCTATCCCTGTATTACAACCTGTGACGATGGCCACCTGTCCATCAAGCCTCTTTTGGCTTTGGCATTTGCTACTGAATATCCTCCCCATCTGAAAATGACAATAATTAAATTCCAATGTATGATCATAAATAAATATATGACACTACATATATAGAAATTCCCCTCTATCCCCTGACCTGTTTGCTATTAACATTAATGACCTTATCTTCCTTATAATTCACTCCCAATTCCATATCTATGCAAACTATTTCCAAATACACCTGTCCCTACCGCCTTCTGACCTATTACCAGCCATATAAAAACTTCAAGAAGATTTAAAAAGAATGTATGACTGGGCAAAAGCTAACAAGCTGAAGTTGAATGCTGTGAAGGCCAAGGCAATCCTAATAGGCTCCAATTACATCCTTAAAACAGTTCCTAACATTCCAATCCAGTTCCTACATGATAATCTCATGTAATTTTATACCATCATCAAAAATTTTGGAATAACCTTTGATTATATAATGTATTTCTATGTATATATATGTAATATGATTGTATATCTTTACAACTTTTCCTTAATCGACCTTTGAGTATTAAATTTAAACTTAACTATTTAATTGGGAATAAGGTCACTTAATTATTATTTAATAAACTATTGAATGTTCATTTCTTCTGTTTATTGACGTTTCGATCACGGTATTTTCTTTTTATTAGTCAACCATGGGATCCTCTTCAAAGCTAGAATTTAAAAAAATAGAGCTTCGATCAGCGAAATCGAAGCTACTGTGATGGATGAAATCCATCAGTAGCTTAATACATGTGCTAGTGGACGGTACTGAGACTGCAGGTGTGTCCCTGGCCTGATCGAAGCTCTATTTTTTAAAATTCTAGCTTTGAAGGGGATCCCATGGTTGACTAATAAAAAGAAAATACCGGGATCGAAGCGTCAATAAACAGAAGAAATGAACATTCAATAGTTTATTAAATAATAATTAAGTGACCTTATTCCCAATTAAATAGTTAAGTTTAAATTATATAAGTATATATATATATATATATATATATATATATATATATATGAAGGATAACTATTATAGAAAAAAAAAGAAAAATACTAGCTACATATATCAAATGGTGTTAATGTTATTCTTGAAGTCCTATTAAATGTAATTACACGAACAATAATACTTTAAGAGATATTTTTTTACGATAAAACATAGTAACATTGTCTTCCCTGTAGATCCGCCTATGTTTCAAACCTACTATCTAAAAACATTTATGTTAGTCGACTATAGCCGACTTTACCTTAAAATCTGACGGATCAATCTAATTCACTCTCCACAAAAAGTTCAAAAATGCTATGGACAAGGGGAAAACATGGAACAGACCACAGCAGATGTAATTGTATATGATCTACAATTTTTTACATTCATCTTTCGCTTGCACTGTTTCAAGAAGAGAGGAGTAATAAAATATCTTGGGAAGAGGGAGGAGGGGGTAGGTTCTTGCGCTATTGACCTTGGGAGGGATAAGCATCCCTGCTGGAAGGTTACAAAACTCATGAAGATTTTAAAATTTAAATTAAGGAAAACCTATCTATGTAATTATTTGATTTGAAAACAGAAATAAATACAGATAGACAGTAAATTTGACGTAAGTATTTAAAATAAATTGAGAAATCACAACATGGAAGTTACAAAGAGGTTACATCCAGCGGATCCATTAAGCTCGTAGAACCGCTGAACCATCGGTGATTCAATCGATGAATAAAGGAACTCCATCGATGGGTTTAGGAATGTACTAGAGGATTTTTAACGCCATCGATAGTCACAGCGCTGGGTTTAGGAACTATTATTTACCAGTACCCATCCGCAGAGAACATTTGCAGAGGACGTTTGCCGGCGTGAAATAAAAAAAGATTATAGAATAAATAAATTATTTATTTATATAACTTATAAATAAATAAAACAGTTAATAATACCACAGTTATATTTATAAAAAAGAAAAACTACGGCAGTTATGGTACAAGGAATTTTTTCTACTTAAGGTATTGGATTATTGTGGTTGGCACTGCATTGGGGAATTTCAAATGCCAATTGTATGCTGAAAACGAAAATTGAAGAAGATGCAAAATATCTTTTAGATAAAATGTGGTTAAATTGTTTTCTAAATATCTCGATAAAAACAATGAATGTGTAAAGTAAATTTGATAACAAATAGCTACAAATAATAAATTTTAAATTGTTTTATCTACCAGTGAATGGTTTTATCAACAACTATCATAGTACATTGCTACAATGACACAGTTGTTAATTATTCCTTAAAAATATACTTAATTCTGGAACAAGTTTTAACTCTGAATTAAATACGTGTAATACATTAATATGTGTTTACTTACGATTAACTCACGCGTTGTCCCGTTGTGTAAGATCACAAATGGTTCTTAATACAGCTATGAAGATAACACAATGAAGTGGCAATCAACAATACTTCTTTGTCGAAAAAATCAAAACAGCAGGCACAATAACTACGACAATTGTGATATGGTTGATAACAAGTGGGCTACTACTGCGCCAGCGCGAAAGGAAGTTTGGGTAATGTTTTGCAGTCGAGGTTAATCACTCCTTAAATACGCCGCGCTGCCCAAAGTGTAATAAAATTAACATTTGGTTATAAGCGATTGGTAGCAACTGAAAGAATTGACTATGATTAATCAGTAAAAATGATTGGATACATTGGTGTAATCCAACTTTAATGTTGATTAATTGTTAATGTTACTAATATGACAGTTCATTTCCATTTTATCAACACAATTTAAATAAAATTTGGGGTAAGTAGAAAATTATTAGAATAAAAGTACGTGCTATATCTTTAACTATCTTAAACTGTTCAAAAATTTTCTTAATTGTCGATTTTATTACACGATTATATTAATAATACACGATCATATTAATAATATATTAAAGATGATATATAATATAATTAATTTCTTAGGCAAGTGACAATTTTTAGACATCTATTATTGAGCATTTTACAGAAGAATTGTGAATGCAACCATGGTAGATACTTTTTCTATTTATACTTAGTTTCAGAGAATTCAAAATCTATTACAAATGAGAACATTTAAAATACAAATTATAAGGAATTTTGAGCTTTTATGACTCCCTTAGTTTTATAAAACTGAGCCACTGTCAGAATTGGTTTCCATTGTTACTTAATTGCATATATTATTAATGGAAAGTTGATATATTGGTCAATCTGTTTCTTATGATCCGAGTTGCCCTTCTTAGTGGATCATGCATATAAAGTATTGCTGAAATTTCATGTAAAGTACTCTCCAACTGTAAAGTGAAACCCAGATTAAGTAATATGTGATAAAAAGTACAAAATAAAAAATTAAATAAATGTTTCACAGTATTGACTGGTTATAGCATTTACATTGTGAGAACCAAATTATTTAATCAGAACACTCGTAGAAAAAAAAAATTTTTTTTTACAACAAACCTTGATCTATCAACTTGATGAACCAGAGGGGTTTCTAAAGGTGACAAACTTATGAAGATGAACAGAGTAACTATTAGCAAATATCTTACTGAAGTGAGAAATTAATGTAAACAAATAAACAGATATTTAAAAAAAAAAAAGGTTATATATCTCAAGTTTTATCTTATCATAAGTTTATTTATGTTGCTTCATTGGTTTAATAAATGAAAAAAATAAATTAAATTAAAATTAAAATGAATTGGTCTGTTGAAGGAAGTTTGTTGATTGTTCTACATGTCTTGGGTGATCAATACTTAGGATGGAGTCATTTCTTAAGTTTTTTATTGCAAATGTTTCAACCCTAGCTTGTGGGTTCTCATCAGGTCATGTTACCAACACCAAAGGTGTTTAAGTACTCACTGCATTCTTACCATCTATCACTGACGAATTGGTCTGATAAATTTTACTTCAATATATATTAATGAATGTATTACCTGTAGATAATTTTTTTTTGTATTTTGTTGTTGTTGGGGCAAAAAACTGCTGACACTTATCATTGCCCATTTTTTTGTATTTTAATTTTCGTGTTTTAACTTTGGTTAAATAATTGTAACCAATATTGGAGTTGTTTCTTTTTTATAAACTTCATATTCACCAGTGTCTCATGTTTTACCGACGACGTCACGATTCTGACTAGGACTAATAAATTGGATTTTACTGAAATGTTATAGTATGATATAAGGCAAATAGTAGTAATATTTGGACTTCTCTAACCATTTTATAGATCCATCAGTGATAGTTTTCCAAAAATGAGGGGTACTGCAAGGTATTGTTTTACCAATGTTATTCTAAAGTATTACTGGATAACTTGTTGATAAAATGTACGGTAGACATCTGTTAATACTATGATATGTAGTATTATTAAGCTTACTAAATCTCTTGAACAAATAAGCTTGCTATGTAACACCAAATATACTGAAATCTTGTAACATACAAGTGAGCCTATTAGAGAGAATGTTAGTATTTTTTAATGTGTTGATGGATGATCATGTGATATATCGAAAGTAAGATGGTCTGTATGTCGGTTTAAAATAATATCTGATAGTAGTAACTATTCTTAATATGTCTTATTTTCAAAAAATGAGATAAAGTTATCTCCTAAGTTCAATTTTACTTCACACTGCAGTTAAAATTGACCACACCTCAGACTAAAAACTGGTGATTTATAATATTTTTATTGACCTCTTCAGAGATTGAAGCTGTTTCTGAAGTCGAATTTTAATTAAACTTATCAAAAACAGCTGTGAGCTAAAGCAAGTTGGTTATGATTTATTGGATCTATTTAATGTAGAAGAACTAATACACCATTAAATAATTTAAATAAAACGCATAAAAAGGGCTTATTGTGTTGTTTTTTTAATTTCCTATAACTCCTCTTTTATTCTTGTATGTTAATTATGAGAACTAAAAGAGAATTTTTCTAAATAGTTCATTTAACAACAGTTTCATCCATCAACTTCAAAGTAATAATCTAATAAAATTTAAAAGAAAAATTATTTTCAAACCAGAAATGATATTGTTTTGCTGAATCCTGATTTTTCTACCCAACTAATGCTCTAACAAGTTTCATAAAAGAGACTTGTAATTGGGCTATGGATAGTAGCTTTTAAAAGGAAAAAAAAAACAAATTAATAAAAAATATTTAAAAAACTCTTTACCACTAAAACCCATAAAGGTTCTTGGGTTCAGTACTAAATAGGTAGGTGATTAGGCAGAGATCATGCTCAACCACCAGATTTTCCTCTTTAATTAAGAGTACCCACTTTATAGAGGTTGGGTGTGCCCTAGGTGAGTCTACCAACCCCAGGGAGAAGTTCCAACATTAGTAAATGTATTCAGATATTTTTCTTTAGGAAGGGATAGTATTGTGAATATTACAAAGATTTATGGCTTTAACTTTGAACAAATGGAGAAAATAATTAAGTTTATTATGGAGGAATCATGGCTATTTTTCTCTGATTTATGAGCATTATAGTTATTGTAAGATAAATAGCTATATTTTTTCCACAGAATAGTCATTGATTTGGAAGATTGAGATGAATAATAAAAACAAATAGAAGGCACAATGCAACAAAATATTTAGTGTACTAAAACAATTAATTGTTTAAAATCATAATCTTTATTTTGTTTTGTTCCTAAGTAAAGAAGTCCTATCTCATTTATACATAATAGGGAATTCCTTTAGAAATAAAAGGTATCTTGAGAAACTAAGGAAAACGGCAATGTGTGGAATAAATACTACAAAAGGCTAATAGAAAATATTGATAATTTGAACTATAAAAATATCTAGATTTTAAAAATATAGTTTAATTAACTTTTAAAAGGTAGTAACAGAAGAAAGGCAAACTGAAAAATAAATAAATAATTCTAGTATATTGGGAGTGTAGGAGAATATTGGGACTCATTAAGCAGGAATGTTAATAAGTACAACAGTGCTGCTACCTTGTAGTGCAACCAAAAACTGCGATAGTTCTAAATGCCCTCACAAGGTAGCAGCACTCATGTGTCTAGGCAGCAACTATTTGTTATACTATCCTCTCAAACAGAATTAAAATTTTCTAGATAAATTTCATTTCGAATGAAAAATGTCCTCTCTCCCCTTCAACAATATATTTAAAGACAAATTTTTGTTGATATCCTGTCTTTACTCAGCCCAGATGACGGTCTACAAATTAGGCCAAAACTTTGGCACAATTATGAAGGAAATTAATTTTATTTATGCAAAACTTAAAACATGAGAGAGAACCATTTTTGTTGTTTAAGAAACACAGTTTTTACATCACGAATTTTATTATTATAACATGAAACGTACAAATGTATATATGCACAAATACTACTAAATTTCTATAACTCAACATTACTTAATTCACTTTATATATTTAAAAAAATAACAATGAATTGAATTATTATAATTACATTACAAAATATTCCTTTTTATTTCTTAACAAAGTTATATCACAATTCAATATGGAAGACATTGTTTGAAGGCACTGACAACCATTTAGTGTACACTAACATAGGATCAACATTCCAATGTTTATGGAAAGACACTGGATAATCGATTTCCAAATAACTGCTGGGGTAATCCATTGGTCTTGCCTGAAATACATAATATCAAGTTACTAAATATATTCAAAGAGAAAATATACATGTTAAATACAATGTAAGTGAAACCCAAATTGTAACAGTATAAAGGAATAAAATAAAATTAAACAAACAAGCAAAAACTAATGCAAACTTTTTTGTGATCATTCATTTTCTCATGCTAACACTAAACTAAATGAATGTCTATTTTATTTATTTATTTAATGTATTCATTAGTTTCTCCATTTTTAAATTATTTTTACATAGTAAATACTGTGTATTTTTTATATATATTTTATTTTTATATTATTAGATTTACTTAGAATAGTGAAGAAATAAAACAAACAATTTTTATTTTTGTTTGTCTGTTCTCTCTCTGACTGCAACTCCCAACCAAATTTCAAACAATATTATTTTTATATGTCTTGTTTATCAATAAACTTCTCAGTTTGTTTATAAGTGTTTATACAATCTGATTTTAATTTTAAACAGTGGTATAACACTTATAATCAAAATGGAGGGGTTATCATATATCTAATGTTTTTTGAAACAATATTACCTGATGAAACAAAGGAGAATGGGTCAAAGAAATATTAAGTGTAGCGATACATAAGCCAAGGACCATATCATCTGGACTATCAATTTGTGGACAGTTGCAAACCTTCACTATGTCTTGAAGAGTATCTATTCCAAACGCAATTCCTCCACCACCTAAAATCAAACATTTAATTTTTTAGAGTCATCAATTAACTCAATTATATTAAATAGCTTGTACATTTCTGTACATCAGAGATAACCAATCGTCATTCCACTCTAGATGATTTTGATATCATTATCCTATTAGTATTATTCTGGTCATATTTTCTGATTGCAAGTATTGTAAATATTTGAAACTTCTTCTTTCTGAATGAATTTGAAAAAATTATTTAAATGCCAATGAAATTTAGTTAACTGTTGAAATGAAAGTAAGAACTTTTTTTAATTCTTGACAGCCACTTGGATTATCATAATCTTGATTTACACTACAGTTAACCATTTATACACAATAAGTTATAAAATGGTTTACCCTTACGGTACAGATTTCTCAAGACAAATATCAACATCAGGTTTACTTTTATAATTTAAAATATATTATATTGACATTGAGCAATTATGACAGATCATTTATTTTTAGAAATAGAAATAGAAATAGAAAAATAACTTTATTCTGGGACACAGTCCCTTGAGAATAACAAATTAGAACAAAATTAAAATATTACATCTGGCCAAAACAACATAAATCGAAAAAAAGAAATAATGTAAAAAAAATATAAGGTATTTTTATTATACAGTAGAAGTTGAAATTATGTTTTATTAGCTATTCCTTTTATTAAGAGCTTCTATTACAAAATATGAAAAAAAAAATTGGTTAGTCTTGAATAATCAAATTGATAAAGGATTAAACATAAAAGATTACTGCAATGTTATTTAAAATCACAAGACGAACATGATTTAAGTATTAATTTTTTTTTTTTTAATGAAATTCACTTTCATTATTTTTATTACAATTAAGTTTTTCAACATATAAATTTCTTTGGGGCTCCACTAAACTATCGAATTCCTCTCATATCTAATCCTTACAATCCAAAATTGTTTGTAAAATTCTCAACACTCCTTACTTTGTCACAAATAAAATCATCCATAATGACCTTAATGTTCCATATGTTTCTGATTTGCCCGAATCCAGATACCTATCCTTCCATAAAAAACTTCAGAACCATCCGAACCCTCTCGTTTCAAAGTTTGCTTCATCCTCGATCCTCGATAACCCTCTGAGGCGTCAGAAAAGAAGGATGCCTTGTGACCTTCTGGTGTAAATTTATTATTTAAGTGCTACCAGTGCGTAGTTTCTCAACAAGTGATTTCTTGTTATTATATTCCTGAGTGCATATTTACTAGATGTATTTTTTCTTTATATTATAGTTGTAAATATCAATGAATAAAAAAAAAAACATAAATTTATCTTTTTCCAGTTTTTATTGGGAGGTTAATAAGTAGTACAGTACAGCATCGACTACCCAAACTGATCAATGCCAGACACGGTCTGGATAAACAATGTAATTAAACAGAGTAAATTGTTGCAGCTAGGAATAAATTAGAATACAATCAACGAGCTTGAGCTCAGAATATTTATCACAAAAATAAGTTAAAAAATCATTTCAAATATTAATCGCAAACATTACTTTTAAAATAGAGTTTATTTTACTACAATATAGATTTTAATTAAATTTGTTGTACAAATAAATATTTTAAACTATTCATGAATAGTTAAAAAACATGTTCATCCTTTTAGTATAGATAACGAATAAATACTTGATGTTTTCAAACCATAACCAACTTAATAAAACAATTTTAAAAAGTCAAGGTCAAACAAAATTACCCCAGATAATTGATGTTGCGTTGGCATAAAAATAATCAACACAACATTTATCTGGTTTAAAACAAAAAAACTGTAACTGTAGAAGTAACTGATTTCTATGTATTATCTTTTTCTTTGAAACATAAACAATGGAATTAATTAAATTTAAGTATATTAAAATATTAACAGCAACAACTTTAACATCATAAAAATATTACAAAAATCAGCGACCTTAAAATTCAAAAGAATGATAAAGATATGTACTACATAAATATGTATTATATATTATATTAACATATGTTATGAAAACATGAAGCCAACCTGTTAAGTAATTGTATCCATGGCCATTGAGAACTTTGTACCCATATCTTTCACCAACAATGATATCAGGAGAATAACACGAGAGATGTGATTGTAATCGTTTTACACTAAAATAAAAAATAAATAAAATTAAGCTCTCAAAATAGTATAAAAAATATTGCATTTTTATTTTATATATATTTTTTTTTCTGTTAGCGCTACAGACCATGGAGACCTTTGACCGCGAGATGTGGTCTCCTAGACCACATCCCGATTCCCAATTTAAGTACACGGGGGTAAGGTCATCAGTCCTACGCCTGGTCGGTGTGAGTTGCTTCCAATAGACTGACAGGCCTCACATACCTGGGAGGGGAGGGGGAGAGAGGATCTCGGGCAGCATGGCTTTTCCTGGTGGACAGTCACCCAAATCAGGCGGTCACCCATCCAAGTGCTAACCACACTCGGCGTTGCTTAACTTTGATTACCTATTGCAAGCACCTTACACGCACAGCTACTCCAGCCCTGCATATATATATATATATATATATATATATATATACATGTATATAATTAATGCATAACAAATTGATAAGAGGAATGGACCGCTTTTTAACCAATTGCCTTGCAGACATCACTTTGTTACAAACTGGGATTTTTATAGTACAACAGCAAGAGCAGGCTACCCATAACTCAGTAACTGATCCTTTGTAAACTTATTTATCAATGCTCTTTTCGCCAATCAATTATCAAAAGCTTAGGTTCAAGAACAGTCATATACAGTCCAATTGTACTGAATATTTGTGTCTGGAATAAGACTGATATATATTTTCTGGACCAAGCAGTGATTACAATTTTCTGGTAATTCACATCATGATTCCCGAATAGAATAAACAGGGTATTGTTGTCGTTTGGAAGGTCTAAATCATTCCCAATTAACAAAACAAGAATACCAATTAATAGTGACATTAACAAATGGTAAATGTTGTAAATATTTAGCAACTTAATATGGCATTTTATATTTGATAAGCATATAAATTATTTGTGTACTTGATCATATTAGTTTTTAACAACTTATTGAAGTTAAAATTTTTAATACCTTAATATTGTATCATCGTCAGCAAGTATCACCCACTTAACAGTTTTTAAAGCATTAGTTTCTTTTACTTCTTCTAAGACCATCTTTAGTATCTTCATCGTTTTCAGGCAATGGCCTCTTTCAGTATTTTTTATGCCAACTTCAGTTGTCGGTATTGTTTCATCTAAAATTTATTGCCAAAATTAGTTGTTGTACTGGGAAATGCAGCATATCTCATTTTACCATTACTATTTTCCTTACTTGCTATGTCACTGAAAAACTTGATATATTTAGCTTCTTTACCCCATGTTTTCTGAACAAAAGGGACACGATTCAAATGATATTTATGGCACGTCTTAACAGCAAAATATATTTCATTAACATCTAAAGTAGGCCTCTGAAATAACATAAATTAAAACATGAAACCATATAAATAAACTTTGGTAGCACATTAAGTTTTATAAGCAAAAATATAGATTTAATAAAGATACTCACACAATATCTAACTTTATTTGGGTAGGAAGCACAAGATTCACGAGGTTTATCACAGAATAATGAAGGCTTATGTTGAAGAGGATATGTTTCTCCAATATAGAGAGCTAATTCATGTGAAGCATCTATGGAGAACTCTGATTCCTTTTCTGTATCAGATATTTTCCTAAGGTTGAGCCTGATAAAATAAGTAATACAATTCAGAGTGGTATAAATAGAAATAAAATGTTTCTTTTGTCTATGGAGATTAAAGCAAGAGTTTAATGCTGATCTTTAAACATAAAGAAAACAAAAATCATTAAGATCCTAAAAAAGTGAAGAACTTATAGGAATTTTCAATAAAACTTCTATAAAATACATTGTAATGAAAACAAACCAAAAAAAAAAAAGAACTTTTTTTTATTTCAAGTACTTTCCCAATAATGGACATATTATGGAATCTTGTTAAAAATCAAAAGAAAAATAAATACAAAATTGATAATTATTTCTCAATAATCAAGAAATACATTTTTAAATAGCTTCTAAAAATAATAAGATTTTTATCGAAGAAACTACTTTTTAAAAAAGTAAATCAAACTTAAATGTAATAATTTATAAATAACAAATAAAATTGAATAATTATAACATACTCTTTTAACAACGAAGTTGCAATGGCAAAACCAGCAGAAATGAGAGGGTATTTGAATATAGTTGGATCTTCATGAAATGCAAAATGATGAATAATGGTTGGCTCTTCATCATTTAATCCAAACCCAATCCATGTTTTCTAAAACCAGAATTATTTATATTTTTCTAAATATTTGTTAATTTGAAGCAAAGGGGTCAATATATTTAGTTTTGACTATATAGGTAGATATATAACGATTTATAAAAGTTTCATTTACACTTCAATAATATCATTACCTCAGTTTTGCTAAACTTCTGAAGGCCTGAAATCAGTCTTTTAAGGTTGATTATAGTACTATCTTCACAAAAATATATCCAAGTTGAATTCTTTCCATGGTCTCTTACAAGCCTGGGAATTAAATTTTATAAAACAAATTTAATGAACGATAATTTCAAAACCGAAAATTTTCAAATTATTACATCAACCAAATATTATATTTGACATATTTGAAATGTACTATTCAGTGGCATAAATAACGCCAATGCTATGTAATGAAGCACAGTGCACAAACTGACACACTGGAAACAATTTAACCGAATGAATGAAAAAATTAACATAGTTATTTAATTATTTTTGATGTTGTGTATAGAAGTTTAATTGAGCTATTTTTAGTATATTTAGGAGGTGATTTTAAAAAATATTGCAAGGTAAAATAGCACTTACAGCATAAAGTGAGTTATTTGTTCAAAAGGGAAAGGGGCGCACAAAAAAAAATGTTAATTGTATAAAAAATTATTTTACTTATATATTTTTAAAAAAAATTGTTACCAATTTATTCTATTATGATCAAGCATAACTTGAACATTTGGAAAAATAAATAAATCACACACACACACAGATATAAATCATAGGATGATACCTATGAAACCATGATGATAATTATGACACTATAATACCTTTCCTTCACCATACCTGGGGAAAAGAGGAATAATTGTCCAATAACCAATATGAGTTTTTTCATCAGGAAGCACTTCCACAATTACTTTACTGTTCTGTGATACCTGCAAACAGTTCATTTGTAATGATAATTTATAAATAAAAGTGATAAAACTCTATCAATAAAGGAATATAACTATGTGTTCAGTACTTTTATTTATTATTCATTTAAATTAAACTATAAGACTTGGCACAGACGGATCTACGGGTGGGGGGAGGAGGAGGCTTCCAGGCTGAAGCCCTCCACCCTCTACCAAAATGGTAAAATATATCAGTGTCTTATGAAAGATAATATCTCTAAAAAGTATTACAGTTTGTTAATTACATCTAATTGGACTTACAGAATCACTTACACACCGTTTCTTATAAGTAGTTAGTTTCTTTTTATTGTTTATACAAAGTAATTATCATTATATATACATAGAGAGAGAAAAAAAAAGCTTTTGTGCTGAAATCCTTCTTCCTCCCAAAATTAATTTCTTAATCTGCTAGTGAGGCTTGCTAACACTTGCAGTTTGTTATAAGAAGCAATAAGGGATTAGATTATGAATTTTAAATAATACAAATTTTCTTCAGTTCATAAGTTACCTATAAGGTAGAAAGCTTTTGAAACGCAAATAAGAATACATAATGGTTCTACCTGTAATGATTCAGCCTGGTGTAAAATATTTTCTTTAAGGTGACCAGCATTGTTTTCATGGTAACTGTTTTCTTGACTCAAAATAACAACAACAATGTTAGTTGAATCTAAAAAAAAAAATATATTTATATATAACTTTTATTTGATTCCAATAATTATTTATATATATATATATATATATATATATATATATATATATATATATATATGTATATATATATATCATTACAAATATTCATTTGATAAATTGATAAAATGGTATGATAGGAATCTATAGTCTATTCACAATTAAAAAAATATAATATGGTCTCAGCTCATATTAAAACTTTTTTCTTATTAATATAGCAAATATATATAGCATTCATTATCGTTGCATAAAAATACCATGACCAATATTTAATTTAATCTTTTCCCGTTATTTAATTACCTTATAGTCACTGTTTTGTAATAGTTGTAACAATTTGTATTATTTAAAACAAGCACGATTAGAATACAATGTTGTGAAATAAAATAATGGAATTAAAATCACAACTAACTCAAGATGTTTTTTGAATTTTCTATTCTCATATTTTATTAATTAGAATGAACTGTAATGGACATGGATACCTCTGGTCACAGCAGTAATTAATGAACTCGTTTATTTCAGAGATGTCATTCTGTTACTTATCACAATGAACAATTACAAGTTATCAATATTTACAGAGAGGTGTGAATTTCTCAAAACTGAACTCAAAACAGAAAACAAAAAATAGATATCTCAATTGGCCAGCAATCACATGAACTCTTATCAGAAAATGGGGATTAGATATGTTCATAATCTTCAAGAACAATTGCTGCGATTGGCTGATGTGCACTGAGAGCAAAAACCATAATCAAAACCCATTCCAAAACATCATCTGTTGGATTTTTTGTTTGCCCAGCAAGGTCACCATGTGAGGGAGGCTGCAGTAAGATTTCATAATTTAAGATTTAGAGATAATAAATCAATTTGTTATTATAACTGGCAGCTTTAACCAACAAGAAATCACTAGGGGTGCCCAGAAGGGGGTTTCATGGAACAAATTGCGCCATCAAAATTTTTGAGGGGGCATATTTTGAAGGGTTTTTGAATTTTTGATGGAGGCAAATTTCGGCGGGGTTATGAATTTTCGGACTAATGGACAAGGGTAGAACATGGAACTGACTGCAGGCAAGTGTATTTATATAAAATCTACGATTTTTCTAATTCTATCTTAGCTTGCTCTGTTTTTAAGAAAGGTGAGGAATAAAATATCTTAGGAGAAGGGGGGGAGTAAGTTCTTGCGCCTTCGACCTTGAGGGGGGGAGGGAAGCCACCTCTGGAAATCACTATAGATTGGATAATATTCAATTTCATGTTCACTATTATGGATTTACGTTATTATGACATATTTTACGTTATATGTCAACACTCCCAAAAACGTTTAGATGAAAGGTAAGTTACAATAAGAAATACATTAGCTATTTTCGTATTATATACAAGAACAGTAAAGATTTCTGCATGGAATTAAAGAATTTGTCCAATGCTTGTCTGTCAATGAAAGAAAAAGGAGAATAGTAAACATCGATGATAATAAATTTAAAAATTCAATCACTTCAAAAAATAAATAAATAAATACTACTAACTTTCGATTTTTAAAAATCAAAATCTATTAAACATCAGTTCTATCTTCTTTGCCCGCCTTTCAGCGTATCAAAACGATAATGGGAAAACACAAAGTCCGGTCCAAGTGTATTTTGTTGGACGCATGAAAATTTTTAGAATAAACTTCACTACAATGAAACTACCATACCATAAGAATAAAAACGACATATTACTTTAGTTGAGATAGCATTTAAACAGCATCTATTGACAGTTGTTTAGATATAACTAAATGACGCGGTTATCCAATAAACCAAAACAAAAACTGGCCCTCCCTCCAACATGACAGACGCAACATTATTCGTCCTAATGAAGATAACCGGAGGGACAGAAGGCTGGATGGCTAGAGCAGACCTCTTGGGAATCCCCTGTACTTCCAAATGAAAACAAATCATCTAACTAATATTTTCAGGGTGTCCTTTTTCCATTTTAAACCCTTCCTGTGGAGTTCCTATTTTAAAGCTTCTTCCAGGGAACATGCAAGTTTGTTAGTGAAATGTTAAACAATTCAAACCATATGAATTTATCATAGATCTAAAAATAAGCGAATAATGGAAAAACTAAACTACCATTTTTATGATTCTACGGCCATTTGCACTATTATAACAAGAGGCGAGCTATAAAATTCCTTTAACATAAAATTTATTCGAGCAATAAAATTTATTCGATTATGTTTCTGTAAAAAACATCCAAACAGCTTGCAGGAAACAAAAGCAGCACATGGCTTCCTTTGGGGAGGTGAGATGGACAACTTTACATTCTGCAACATTTCGTTGTGTAAATTGACACATACATTGTATTACTGGAAAAAGTAAATATATATATATATATATATATATATATATATATATATATATATATATATATTTTTTTTTTTTCATAATCAATATTTCCACTAGCGGTTAGTGTTTTAAACATCAATAACTTGGAAATAAATAAATACATGATATTTTATTTTGAATTAATAGAATGTGGTTACGTACTACAGTATACTCATCTAAGTGTCAAATTTCTTCACGTAACGTAGACGAATATCCGCAAATCGAATTTTGAAATAATCTTTGAATTATTTTTTTTGTCATTATCGTTGAAGGTGATCTTGAAAATTTTAATTCAATTATAGGTTTATGGTAAGAATGAGTAAAAGTGAAAAGGAGAAATGAAAGCAAAGCAGAACAGATGAATTATGAAAGAAAAGCATAATTCTGTGAGTTTACGTTAATCTTGGCTATTTTTAGATTGAAGGCTCAGTGAAGACTAATACTAAGTAACGCGGTATTACACCGGTTTGTTTCTGATTCTATATTTTCAATCGTTTCAGCTATTCTTTCGTCTTTCCTCATTCATATAATTTATCGAAAATTCATCTTTCATGTTCATTTAACAGCTCTGCAAGTCTTTTTCTATTAACCATTCGATTTTCTGTACAAGTTGTCTTGGATTTGCTTCTTCTGGCTCTATACTTCCTGCTACCTTTTACCACTTTTTACTTGAAGCGTCTTACTTATAACGGCCTTTTTTTTTAAAAAATCATATAGTAAATAGATATAAATCATATACTTTTGCTCAATAATGTTTTTGGTTGTAATCAAAGGGAAAAAAAAGATGTTTATTTATTTCATTTTGTTTCTGTAACAAACATAGAAATCAAATGTTAAATATAGTTAAATACAATGACTATGTCAGTAAGGATGTTATTCTTATATTTTGAAAAGCTATTGATACCTAAAAAAATAGTAAATGACTATTGAAATAATAACCTATACAATGATCTTTAGTTACACCGATTGCAGATATTTCCAAGAAAGAGGATCATAACGACAATAAATTGTTCGAAATGGCTTGGTTAAAGGTTCTACACATTTTTTTCTTCCACCCAAGTTAGTAAAAGATTTATTTGATTTTTAGCGCCTTCAATTATAAAAACTATACCAAGCTATCTGGAATATTTACGGAAAGCAGTCCTTTTATAATTTCTAACATCTATGGTTAATCCTTCGTTTCTATGGATCGTGTTATAAAGGATAAAACTTGTCGTTTTATTCCTTTAAAAGCATCCACAAAGTTACTTAGCGTAGAAATATTCCATGGCTCTTGTAATTTAGACAGCTGGGATGTATGGTGCACTAATTCAGAGCTTCTTATATAATAATGATTTTTTTCTATGTGCCGTTGGTGCACCATGGTTTCATCACGTCTGTTTGTATCATTAATACATATATTACTTATCCGACATTGCAAAAAGTAAAAAAAAAAAAAACGTTTATGTCGTCAAATAATTCTTATATGTAAACAGCCATGTATTCAATAATTCGGGTTAGATTCAAAGGAACTGTCCAAATATGATGTTCGGGGATTTTTCAAACAATCCTATGATATACTGAAAGCCTTTGGATGAGAACGAACCTTTCGATGTTAGCGAAGCGAGAAGTTAGGGGTATAAGTTTGGTTCTATTTGGTATGTAAATCCGAAGAGGGCTGTCCCCAGGAAGATGTATAAATTAATAGCTGGCAGAAAAGAGAGAGTGCCTGCTCTGTATTCTTCTGACGCCACCACTCCTTTCCTTCCTCATCTTCTCGGCCCTTTATACTAACCTCTCTTTATTAATCGAACATCTCGTACGATATCCAATATATAGCTACAGTGAATCCATATGGAGAGAAGTGTTCATTAGTTCGATATAGTCTTTGTAATAATTTAAGGCATACAATACAACAGTTGCTATTACATTATAAATCGCTACGAATGGAAATGTCCAAAAAGCGTGGTCTAGTTTTCA